AATTTCACTAAAGGAGCTCAGAGAACATTTCCACTGTCTTCCACTTTTATTCAGGTGAGGGAGCAGAGATGCGAGAAAGAGCTCGTTCTCATAATCTGAATTTTGAGAAGCTGCGAGCATCTCAGGCTGACGATGCAGCATTTCTCTGGGTTCTAAACATGGGACAGACCAGTTCTGCAACCACCTTTGTGTGACTCTAGGGTTCAACTGGAAGCATTAGAAGTAGACTCTGAGATTAGTTCTAACTCTTACACACGTGTACACACATGCACACACGTGCTCACACACACACACGTGCACACACACACACGCACACACGTGCACACACTGATTCCCCTGCCACATTAGTTTGTTTAAAAGATCCATGACTTTTAAGACAATCGCCTTGTACTAGGTTGAATGGTGGCTCCCCAGAAGATATTTCCAGATTGTACTTCTCTGGAACCTATGAATGTGACTTTATTTGGGAAATTTTCTTTACGGATACAATTAGGTTAAGGATCTCACCATAAGATCCTCTGTATTATCTGGGTAAGCCCTAAATCCAATGACTTGTGTTCTTAGAAAACGCAAAGGAGAGAGACAGGGAGACAGAGGAGAAGACGTGTGAAGCTGGAGGCAGAGGTGAGAGGTCCGCAGTGAGTCAGGCAAGCCAAGGGCCACCTGGAGCCACCAAAGGTGAAAGAGGTCGGGCAGGACTCCACCCCTGAGCCTGCGAGGGAGTGTGGCCCTGCCAACGCCTTCAGAGTTTTGGCCTCCAAAACCGTGAGATGATAAATTTATATTGTTTTCATCTACTAAATTTGTGGCAATTTTTTAATGGCAGCCATGAGAAATGAACACACACCTTTATTTTTCTAAGCTGCTTCTCAATCAGGTAAAAATGTTGACTCCACAATTCCTGGTGGAATTTTAGCAGGTGTGAGATAGTCTCAGCCTGAGTACTTCCATGAAGATGGCTTCCTAGCAAAAATCTGAGACAAGTATTTCTGCGAGCAGATTGCTGTGTTTTGTTTAATTTGTTTCCCATACTCCAGCTTAAGGAATAAATTTAGACCCCCTTGGGGGCCTCCTGTGCCCCTCCCTGTTGCTCCTCTCTCCTCCAGAGAATCATTTCTCTGAATTTCATAATTATTCACTTGCTTTGCTTATAGCTTTACCACATATGTATGTGTCCCTAAATTCCTTTTGGGTTAGTTGTTTCTTTTTGAAATTTTTATCACTTCGTCTTTCATTTATTTTTCATAAATATAAAATCTATATTTCATAAATTTAAAAATATATATTTTTCAAATGTATTTATGTTAAACATGTAGCTGGTATGGTTGTATTCCACTCTGTTACCACATATGCTATGACATATTATTCTATCATGAAGGGACTGCTCCTGTGAATTTTCTTGTATAAATGTCCTTGTGCACACGTGTAAGAATTGGAACTAAGGTGTGGAGCTGCTGGGTTTTCAATTTGGCTAGTAATGCCAAGTTGTATTCCAAAGAGATTGTACCAATTTAGGATTCTGGTAGTAGTGCACATGTGCTCTCACTCTCACTGATCCACGTATACTCCCTAATGCTTAGTATTATTATACTTCTTAATTGTTGCCAACTAAGTAGAAAGTGGCATATCCTTATAGTTTTAATTTGCATGTTGCTAGTTACTGATGAGGAAGATCTTTTTATTTATGCACATACATGCTTTTGTTTTTGTCAAATGACTATTCATAATTTTTTCCTATTTTTCTATTGGATTATTTGTGTGTTGCACACAGCCTTATCTGAGTTTTTAAAATGATTTATTTATCCTTTTTGATAATATCCTTTTTGATTTCAGAGTATTATGGGGTACAAATGTTTTGGTCACATAAATTGCCTTTGCACCACCTGAGTCAGAGCTACAGGTGTGTCCATCCTACAGACAGAGCACACTGCATCTGTCAGGTGGGAATTTACCCCTCTCCTCCTCCCCCTCCCACCTGCTCAACACCTGATGTATATGTTGCTTCCCATATGTGCATATAAGTGTCGATTGATTAGTACCGATTTAATGGCTGGTACATGTGTTTGTTTTTCCATTCTTGTGGTACTTCAGGTAGGAGAAGGGGTTCTATCCAGGGTAATACAGGAGGTAGTTCACCATTGATTTTGTGGCTGAGTAGAACTCCATGGAATACATATACCACATTTTATTGATGCACTTATGGATTGATGGGTATTTGGGTTGTTTCACAATCTTTGGGTTGTTTCACGATCTTTGCAAATTGTGCTGCTATACATATTCAAATGCAGATGTCTTTTATATAGAATGTCTTTTTTTACTTTGGGTAAATACCCAGTAGTGGGATTCCTGGATCAAATGGTAGTTCTACTCTTAGTTCTTTGAAGAATCTCCATACTGTTAATATTTTCCATAGAGGTTGTACTAGTTTGCAGTTCCAACAGCAGTGTATGAGTGTTCCTATCTCTCCACATTCACATCAACATTGTTGTTTTGGGACTTTTTAATAAAAACCATTCTCACTGGAGATAAGTGATATCTCATTGTGCTTTTGATTTGCATTTCCCTGATGATTAGAGATGTTGGACATTTGCTCTTATGTTTCTCAGCCATCAGTCTATCTTCTTTTGAAAAGTTCTGTTCATGTCTTTTGCCCACTTTTTAATCGGGTTGTTTGATTTTTTTCTTGCTGATTTTCTGAGTTCTATATAGATTCTAGTTATAAGCTCTTTTCAGAGGTATAGCATGCAAATATGTTCTCCCATTCTGTGGGTTGTCTATTCACTCTAATGATTGTTTCTTTGGATGTGCAGAAGCCTTTTCATTTGATCAGGCCCCATTTATTTATTTTTGTTGTTGCTGTGATTGCATTGGGGATCTTCTTAATGGATTCTTTGTCTTGGCTAATGTCTATAGGAGTTTTCCCAACATTTTCTTCTGGAATTCTTATAGTTTTATGCCTTAGATTTAAGTCTGTTATCCACCGTGGATTGATTTTTGTGAGAGGTGAGAGATGCTGATCTTGTTTCCAGTCTTCTACATGTGGCTATCCAATATTCCCAGCACTGTTTATTGAATAGGGATTCTTTACCCCAGGGTATGTTTTTGTCTGCTTTGTCAAGGGTCAGATGGCTATGTGAGGATGGCTTTATATCTGGGTTCTCAGTCCTGTTCCATTGATCTATGTCTGTTTCTTGTGCTAGTACCATGCTGTTTTGGTTGCTATAGCCTTGTAGTATAGCTTGAAGTTTGATAAATTGATGTCTCTCAATTTGTTCTTTTTGCTTAAGGTTGCTTTGGCTATATAGGGTCTTCTCTGCTTCCATATAAAACATAGAATTATTTTTTCTATATCTGTGAAAAATGATGTTGGTATTTTAAAAGGTATTATATTGAATCTGTAGATTGCTTTAGGTAGTATAGACATTTTAACAATGTTGATTCTGCTGACCCATGAGCATAGTATGCTTTTCCACCTGTTTATGTCCTCTGCTATTTCCTTCCTCAGTGTTTTGTAGCTCTCCCTGTAGAGGTCTTTTACCTCCTTAATTAAATATATTTCTAGGTATTTTATTTTCTTTGTTGCTATTGTGAAGGATATTGAGTCTTTAATTTGGTTCTCAGTTTGACTGTTGTTGGCATATAGGAATGTTACTGATTCCTGTACATTGATTTTGTAACCTGAGTCATTGCTGAATTTGTTTATCAAGTCCAGTAGTCTTATGGCAGAATCTTTGGGGTTTTCTGGATATAAGATCATATCGTCAGCAAAGAGTGATAGTTTGACTCTTCTGCCCCTGTTTGGATGCCTTTGATTTCCTTCTCTTGTCTGATTACTCTGGCTAGGACTTCTAACACTATGTTAAATAGAAGTGGTGATGGAGGGCTCTTACAAAGGGGGCAGATGACTAGCATGTGCTCTTCTCAGCCCTTTACCCTCATGTTTCTTGTTTCCTGCCTAGAGGATGGATCTGATGTGTGCAAATATGTGGCCATTTTGGGTGACCGGAACTTTAAGAACCATCATGGATAAGAGATAAGTTAAAAAATGAGAGCCAAATATTAGGAAAGATGGACCTAAAACACATAAGAGGCAGAGCTCCAGAATAACCCACAGCTTTTGTACCAACCCTGGACTCTTGAACTCTTTCATGTGAGGGAGAAATACAGGTATATCTTGCTTAAAGATCCATTTCTTGTCACTGTTATTAGCTATGTAAAAACATTTCCTAACTGACACAAGATACATAATGAAAATCTCAAACTACCAAAATTACCTTAGAAAATCAACTAAATCCCACATAAAATACAGTAAAGCAGTGAGGTATAAATCATGAATGGGTCATAGGCAAAGGCAATTAAGCCTTTAATTCTTGGGGCCAGTGAAAAAAATAAACAAATTGGGCTCTACCCTTGCATTAAGTTAATATTTGCCTTTTGGAAATTATATTGCTTTCAGAAACCGTAACTAAGAAATTTAAAATAATGTGCATTCTGAAAAGAAAAATACTAGAAAGCACCCATATATGCAGTCCTGATAGCAATATATATGTGTATGTGTATATATTCATTTATGACTTTTAAATAACATTTTAATATTTTTTTAAGGCTGTTGAACAAGTCATTGTTATGGACATCCTGACTACCAAAGCAATGTACTTCATTCACAATGATTGGAAAACCCTCAAAATCATTCACACCTTCTCCTCACAGTGATTGAGCTAAGTTTGATTTTGTCACATGGTAAATGTTCTTTAAGCAGAATTGTGGGAAGAATTATCAATTTTATTTTTATTGCTCTTTATTTTCTCTTCCTTCTTTCCCTTTGTTTGCATTTGATATAACTCTGTTATAATGTCCAACATTGAGAAAAACACTTGCTACTGCATAGTTTTGTCAAGTTGTGAGTAACTGGAGGTCTGAGAAGATTAGTGGGTGAAGAGATTCTAGAACTTAAATTTTCCCAAGGAATGTTACCATGTTGCTAAGCTATGCAACATAGCTTAGCAACCAGGGGGACACATAGGTTCCTTTGAGTAAGAGTGGGAAAAACTGGAGGGAGACAGCTATTTTCTTTTGGAAGCATTAGACATTAGACTGCCTCTGCCAACTAAAAATTCCCAGCTTAAGTGCAAAGCAAATCAACAAAAACTCAGTCTAGACCCGTTATGAAGCTGGGAGGGTATCAACAGACTTGAGTTCCTGTCAACCAGATCACCTGCTTTTAATACTATCTCCAGGTATAATTTTAAATTCATCATTAAAATAATTTTGTAAACTTTTAGGTTAAGATTTAGTTAATTGTCCTAAAGTTCATCTTCTTTTCAAGACATATGTAAATGCCAAATAAATCTTTTTTAAGGAAATGGGGTATTATCTTTTAAAGTAAATCACCTATTTTTGAGTGGATCATACAAATAAAATATGCAAAGTTTGTGTGGATAAAGACATTTATTCAGTGGAAAACATAGCTCTATTTAACAAGTATTTATTGAGCATATACTATGTGGCAGGCTGTGTTCTAGATACTGGGAATACAGAAGTGAAAAAAGGGCTAAGTCACTGCCTGCTCGATTATCATATCCTCCTGAGAGAAGCAAAAAAATAAAGAAATGTAAAACAAGTAATGCCAGGGAGTGATGCACACTATGAAGATAGCTCAAGGAGGGAAAGGGTTAGAGAGTGATTGAGGCTGGGATGATGGTGAGAACTACTTTTGAGAGAAGGTTAGGAAGGCGTCTGAAGAAAGTGTCCTTTAGGCAGAGAAATGAATGAAGCAATGGAGGAAGCCATGGAATGACCTAAGGGGGAGTGCATTATATGTTGTAAGATCTGAAAATTCAAAATGATTTTGTAATCATCACCTAAATAATAATCCTTATATCACTTTGCATTCATAACTTTCACCTACTCATTAATCTGATATTGTGTTCTATCTTTGTAGGCATACATCTTACATAAGTGCTACTTTGGACTAAGAACATTCACATATAATTCAGATTTACACAGTATTTTATAAGTCACAATAGCCAGAGATAGGATTGGGTGGATTAGTAATGCTTTCAAGACCACTTATTTTGAGGATTTTTTGTCATTTAGTCTAAATAAATTTTAACTATTTGTAAATATATAGGTAGATTCAAGAAGCTATAGGAAGGCCTGGTGTGGGCTCAAGTGTAATCCTAGTATTTTGGGAGGCCAAGGTGGGAGGATTGCTGAGGCTAGGAGTTTGAGACCAGCTTGACCCCATCTGGTCAAGAGCGAGACCCCATCTCTACAAAAGGTAGAAAAACTAGCTGGGTGTGCTGATATGCACCTGTACTGTCAGCTACTTGGGAGGCTGAGGCAGGAGGATCACTTGAGCCCTGGAGTTTGAGGTTGCAGTGAGCTGTGATGATGCCACCACACTCTAGCCACCACACTCACACCACAGGGCATCAGAGCAAGACCCTGTCAAAAAAAGAAAAGCTATAGGAAAGGAAATATTGTTTCCTGAAGTACTTACACAATTTCCTGAATGGTGACTATGAATTTTAATTAAATTTTCACACAGTTTTTAGTTTTTTCCCTCTTCAGAGTGAAAATAGAGTGTTAGCCTCACAATTAAAATATAAATATAAATGGAACTCAGCTACCTTCATTTAGGAAATCTCTTGGGTGTATCCTTTAAGTCAAAGGTCTCAGTCTAAGTTTGCAACACAGAGGCAAGACCCAAGATATTTACTAAAAATAGCTAAAATGCTCATACTTGCAAATTATTTACTTTTTAAAAGAAATTAGTACAAAGAAAGGCCAGTTCTTTTTTTATTAGTTATATTTTATTGTTATAAAATAAGTCTTGATACCAAAAGCAAGAACAACAAAAGAAAATAATAAAGTGGATTTCATTAAAATTTAAAATTCTTGTGCATCAAAGGACACTATCAAGAGAGTGAAGAGATAACATACAGAATGGGAGAAACTATTTGGAAACCATAGATCTGATAAGATTTTAATATCCAGAACACATGAAGAGCTCCTATAACTCAACAACAAAAAGACACACAACCCAGTTAAAAAAAGAAAAAAAATAGACATTTCTTCAAAGAAAATATACAAATGACTAGTAAACACATAAAAAGATGCTCAATATTGTTAGTTATTAACGAATGCAAATCAAGACCACAAAGAGATATTTCACTTCATACCAACTAAAATGGCTATTAAAAAAATCCCGAAGAAAAAAAAAGTGTTGGTGAAGATGAGGAGAAATTGGAACCCTCATACATTGCTTGGTCACCCCCAAAAGAAAATATTTGATCTCCATCAATAGACAGCAATTTACACGATATTATTAAATTGACAGAGGAAGAATTCTAAATATGGATTGTAGAAAACTCAATGGAATTGAAGAGAAAATAGAAACCCAACATAAAGAAACCAAAAGGACAATAAAGAAACAAATGAAAACTTTTTTAAAGAAATTGAAATACTACAGAAAACCAAACAGAAATCTTAGAAAGAAAAGAGGCTTTCAAAGAACTTCAAAACACAGTGGAAAGCCTGAAGAACAGAATGGATCACACAGAGGAAAGAATCTCAGAACTTGAAGATAATGCCTATGTGCTAAACAAATTGGATGAAGAAAAAGAACAAAGAAACAAGAGACAAGGTCAAACATGAAAGAAATGTGGGATTATGTAAAGAAGCCAAATATAGGAATCATTGACATCCCATAGGGAGAAGAAGAAAATACACAAGGGCTGGAAAACCTATTTCATGGAATACTGGAGGAAAATATGCCTGGCCTGGCCAGAAATATAGATATCCAGATACAAGAAGCACACAAAACCCCTGAGAGACTCAAGTCAAAAGGAAGTCACCATGTCACATAGTTATTAGGCTGACCAAAGTAAACACGAAAGGCCAGTTCTTTAATGCTATTTCTTGCATTGATTTGCAATGCCACAGGCTTACCTGGTTAGAAAGATTGGAGTTAGAACCTATATATTGATATATAGCTCTTCTGAGCAACAGTCACTGACACATCATAGCTGAGTCAGTAGTTTTTAGTACTTTCCTTTCCATAATTTTTGGATGCATTTTAAAAAATCTAGATATGTGATATAAATGTGTCTTCCATGAGAACATCATCTGTCATGTATATAATGGTGGGGAAAATGGGCTGAGAATTGCTGTTATATATCATATAGAAAATACCTATTAAGCTAGAATAGAGGACACAAGTGTGTAGTTTTTATTTGTTTTCTGTGTGTTTGCATATGTTTTGTATATCTATTATTTATTGTAAGACTGTATTTGGGCCCTGATAAATAATTCATGTCACATTGGTAGAAGTAGTCATTACTTTGTCTCACAACACAGAATTCATCTATGATACACATTGACCAGTTTGACATTGATAAGCATCTCTAATATTGGTTTCAGCAAAAATTTTATTCTCTTTATTACAAAATAAATTATATTTTGGATTTTCTAATAAAGATAATATTTATCAATGGGAAAATCACTTATTTCCCAGTTTCAATTTTTGTTAACCCCATATTTTAAAAATATGTTCTTTTCATATTTCTCTTGTCTTTTGAAAAAAATCCACACTTTTGTATGAAGATGAATCCTTTCATTCTCTTGCATTTATAAGCCTTAAAATGTTACAGTTCAAACACAATGTTTGTCATAAAGAGAAGTCTTTAAAGACAAATATTATTGCAAGCCAATTCATGGACTTTGGAGAGATATCTAGTAAAATCACTAGGCAATGAATAATTAGTCAATGAAAGAGTGTTGAAGCTAATAAAAGAATGAGGTAAAAGAGAAAGATGTGGGGCTTTATTAGCGTTAACCAACACATTTTTGCTTTTTTTCAAGTTTGAGGTAGGTCTATTTTTCCATTATTAGCTCACTTGGTAGAATAATTCAAACTACAATTTTATTCTGAGTTATTGCATTTGTAAAAATTTAAGTTTAAACCAGACTTTCAAAAGAACATTGCTGCTGGGCATGGTGGCTCACGCCTGTAATCCTAGCACTCTGGGAGGCCGAGGCGGACAGATCGCTCGAGGTCAGACGTTTGAGACCAGCCTGAGCAAGAGCGAGACCTCGTCTCTACTATAAATAGAAATAAATTAATTGGCCAGCTAAAAAAATAAATAAATAAATATGTAAATATATATAAAATTAGCCAGGCATGGTGGCACATGCCTGTAGTCCCAGCTACTTGGGAGGCTGAGGCAGAAGGATTGCTTGAGCCCAGGAGTTTGAGGTTGCTGTGAGCTAGGCTGATGCCACAGCACTCTAGCCTGGGCAACAGAGTAAGACTCTGTCTCAAAAAAAAAAAATTGCCTTAGTCTATTTGGGCCCCTGCAACAAAGTATCATAAACTCAGTGGTCTATAAGCAACAGAAATTCATTTCTCACAGTTGTGAAGGCTGGGAAGTCCAAGATCAAGGCATCAGCAAATTCAGTGTCTAGTGAAGGTCCACTTCCTGGTTCATAGACGGTGCCTTCTCACTGCATCCTCACAGGGTGGAAGAAGGGGCAAGGCAGCTTTCTGGGACCTCTTTCATTAGGGCACTGATCCCATTCATGAGGGCTCCTCCTTCATGACCTAATCACCTCCCAAAGCCCCCACCTCCTAATACCATCACGGTGGGGATTAGGCTTCAACATATGAATTAGGGTGGGTGGAGCACAAACATTCAGATCATAGCAAACACAACATTTATTTTAGCTTTTATAGAACTTTTAGTAATGCATGTGGATAAAATCTTTATGTATTTATAATTTTTGAACAATAAAAAATAATAACATCAGATTAAATTTTCTGTAAGTTAAGAGTCAGTACTACAGCACTTAAAACATAAGAGGAAGATGAATTTCACACGCCCGAGAGGCACTACTATTGTCATAAGAAGAGGAAGAGAATTCTCTGCATTGTTTCCTTGTTGACCTTTTATGCTTAAATTTAAAGTGTATAACTACCCTTCAAATCTCTCTAAGAGAATTGATGCGGAGCAGACACACATAGGAGAATAACTGAATAGTCCAGCTGATATTTAAGTTAGTCCCATCAGACTGAAGATGAGCAAACTAAAATCTGAGCAATAAAGCAATGAATCTGTGGTCGTTTTTGCTGGTTAATGGCAAGGCTGGGACCATAAATCTCATTTTTTATTCTAGTTTAGTGTACTTTCTACCCTCCAAATTGCCTACAATATTCTTTCCCCCCCCCCAATCTAGACAAAAAAACAAATTTACTGGCTTAATTGTACAAAAGGTCCTACATAAAAAGAATAACTTTAAAGTCTGATTTATACAAAGAGGTTAGAACTAATTCATCATTGTGATGTTCATTAGTGCAATATGGAAATATACTTTTTATTACTAGATAATATTTTCTAAATTTAATATTTAAGTATATTTTAACCTAGAATAATTCTAGAATTTATGTATATCAAACTGAAATTCATAAAATGTAGATGTTCTATGGCAACAGGGTTGGAATCTACATATCATAAATCATAAATATACACCATGAAAAACTTAAATACAGATTGCTCTGGTCTAAAAAGATAGTCAAGGAACTAAAACATCCACTGCAACAAAATCCAGACATCAAATTCTATACTATGCACATATTTTGACACTATAAATTATTCTGATAAAAAACTCCCAACCATGGTTAGGAATAAAATGTGGATTTTCCAATTCTGCTATTGCAAATAAGGTTTCCACCTAAAATGGGAAAAATACAACAGGCACCAGGAAAACAATCTTTTTAGATTTCAAGAGTAGTATATCATCTTCAAGAAAGTTTAAATACTCTTTCTTGTGTTCTTAATCTATTTGACTGTGAATTCATTATGAGCCACAAATTTATCTTTAATCCCTTCAGCCTACAACACTGTAGGTGTCTAATGAATGTTTGCTAAATGACTGGCAGAGCATTAAATATTACTGAATATTGCAAAAACATGAAAAATTTTCCTAGTTTATCGTCTATAGATAACATCATTGTTTTGGACTTTTTTTCCTTCAGATTTTACCATCCTCTTGGAATATAATATGAGTACAATATGAAAGATCTTCAGTTAAAGTTAATTTAGTGTAAAAGCACATTTGTGGGTATTTAAAACCACCATTTTAATTTACAATATCAAAACCGATTATAATTATGTATTTTTTATATTAGCCAACAAAGTGACCTTAAATGCAATTCAAAAGAGAACATACTTTACATTTTTTACACATACTTTAATTTTTCCAGGGGAAAATTGTTATGTTCCACCTATGTCTATACTATTTTCAATGTTTACAAAAATGTAATCTGAAAGCAACATGGCCCCACCGTGCTTTGACATGAGAAACAGTTCAGTGCAAACCAAGAAGATGGAGAAATGCTTGATGTACAAGGACATGTCAAAATGTCTTGTGAGAATGACAGTCGTTCTGTGATTTCAGGGTCTGGACACATCTGGAAGTGGCATCGATCAGGTTAGACTTGCAGAACTTTCCTGGCGCCAGTGGCGAGGAAGAACCAGCACGCGTAGACATGAATCTCAAATCTTCGACATCCGCTCCTCAGTTTCTGGTCAAAGGCAGCCGCATCAAGCCTAGAAATGAAAGCTACTTTCTGGTCAGGCACACCCCGCACCCCAGAAGAGTCTGCCACATCAAAGGTGAGGAGACCTGAGGTCCTAGGATGTGTGTCTCTGCTGTACACTTGGGATGCTTGATGGCTCTGGTGGGTGCACATAAGGCCGCTATTCAAAATATTTGGCCACTGCTGAGGCATGGGCATTGACTACTGGGACCAATGTCAGTAGTGGAGCGAGAGCAGAGGCCTGCAGGCCCTGTCTGTGCCAGACAGTAACCCTTGAATTGCTTGATTGTTGGGGCAGGGGCCTGGAGAGGGGCCAAAGTGACCAGGACAATGGGGCCCACTCAGGGAGCTCAGGACAGTACTAACCAGCTTGCATAAAAGTACTTCAGTCTATTCACAACCCACATGGCCACGCCAGCATCTGCATGCTAATATCAGCCCTAGGGAAACATGTATTTGCATCCTGCTCTTTTCTTTTTTCTTTTCTTTTCTCTTTTCTTTTCTTTTCTTTCTCTTCTCTTTTCTTTCTTTCTTTCCTTTTTCCCTTCCTTCCTTCCTTCCTTCCTTCCTTCCTTCCTTCTTTTCTTTCCTTTCTTTCTTTTTTCCCTCTCTCTCTCTGTCTTTCTTTCTTTCACTTTCTTTCCCCTCTCTCACTCCCTCTGTCAGTCCCTCTCTCCCTCCCATGCTTCCCTACATCTTTCCTTCCTTCTACCTTAACTTCATACAATAGACTGCTTGGAGAGTGGGTGTAAATGACAACATCCCCCTTCTGAGAGCGGCAGTTCAACCCAGCTCGCATTGAGAATAAAGAAGTCTACACTCCGTACACAGGTTTTGGGTTCTAGAGAAAACAGTGAGAAGAGGGAAGGGCGCTGATGTTGGAGAGGCAGATTTGTCAGGGGGTAGCTGGAGACAGGGGGAGAGCTGGAGACAGGGGGGGAGCTGGAGACAGGGAGGAGCTGGAGACAGGGGGAGGGCTGGAGACAGGGGGAGAGCTGGAGACAGGGGGGAGCTGGAGACAGGGGGAGGGCTGGAGACAGGGGGAGGGCTGGAGACAGGAGGAGCTGGAGACAGGGGAGGGCTGGAGACAGGGGGGAGCTGGAGACAGGGGGAGGCTGAGACGCGAGGGGGGGATGCTGAGAGCAGGAGGTGGAGGGGGTGGGGGCTGTGCTGTGACAGGAGGGCTGGAGACAGGGGAGCGCTAAGAGACGGGGTGCTGCGGAGATAGGGAGCTGGAGAGTAGGGAGCTGGAAGACAGGGAGCTGGAGACAAGGAGGAGCGGAGACAGGAGTGGAGACAGGAGCTGGAACAAGGGAAGAGCTGGAGACAGGGGGAGGCTGGAGACAGGGGAGGCGGAGACAGGGGGATGCTGGAACAGGGGGAGGGCTGGAGACGGGGGGGGGAGCTGGAGACAGGGGGGAGCTGGAGACAGGGGGAGCTGGAGACAGGGGAGACCTGGAGACAGGGGGGAAGCTGGAGGCAGGGGGAGAACCGGAGTGGGAGTGCCTGCCTGACCAGGTGGGAGTGCCTGCCCAGCCGCTTGGGGGCACAGAGTGGGGCGAACTCGGGCAGAGAGCTGGGACACCACGAGGTCGGGTGACCGAGGATCGCAAGTGTGGAGAAGAGAAATAGGGACAGGAGCCTGCCCCGCCTATCCGCCCGTCCACACCTTTGGCGATCGACTAAAGCGTGCTGCTTTCGCTGGTCCCAGAAGGAGGGCAGGTGGGGTGCTAGGTTGGCGGCCGTGCAGACCCTATCCCGCCCTGGGCCTGTGGGAAGGCGGGGATGGGGGGAGGCTTGCAATCAGGTCAGCGGCACACCTGCTGCCGGCACCTGCCACGGGCTGGCCGGTCTCACGCGTGGGCGAGGGCGGAGGGCGCACGTCGGAGCCACCAAGAGAGCCGGCATCCGGAGGCAGGTGTATGACTGTGCCCCTACTCTTTCGGTCGTCTATGCAGCCACTCATTCATTCCACAACTGGCCTGCAGGGCCGCGCCCCCGGCGGGCCACGCCCTCTGGAGAAGGAAAGGATGACAGCCACACCTGACACCTGCGTCCTGGTCGGTGTGAGAGCGAGGGAGAGGACGGCACGCTGTGCGCCGGCACTGCGCAGGGCGTGGGAGCTAAGCGCTCATCGTGGGACTGCACGGAGAGGCGTGGGGGGGGGCGGGGCGCGACCAGAACAGGCGCAGAAGTGGGGAGGAGGCGGGGTTTAGAAAGGCTCTGCATACCCTAACCCTAACCCTAACCTTAACCCTAACCCTAACCCTGCATATCACGCTAGGAAATTTGTATTCCTTCACAACCAAAAGAGATGTCTATACCCGCGGTTTTCACTTCCTACCTTAGAGCAGCAGCCTGGCCTTTTGACCCACCATTCCACAAAACCCGTCAAAATCCTTCATTGGAACAAATGCAGTGAGAATAAAAAGTAGAGATGCTTGTGGTTATAAGTGACAGAAAATCAAATCAACCTGGACTGAGATCAGGTTGAGTCCAAAAAACGCGTGGCCCAACAAATAAAACAAAAAGGAAAAAAAGTAGGAATGGAGAAAAGATTTTTTTCCTAAAAGTTCTCCAACACACACACACACACACACATACACACACACGCACACACGTGCACACACGCACACACACGCACACACACGCACACACATGCATGCCCACATACACACATCTTTTACTAATTAAAGCAGGTTGCAGAGAAAACAGTTTTTCCATTGAAAAGGCTTTATATATATTTCACTTGGCGGGCAATTTTTCACTGTGCATCTGAACCAATCGCTCACTTAGGTGTTTAAGATACAATGATAAGACGTGTGATGCTGTCTTCAAAAATTTTATTCTTATTTCTGTTTAGAACCAGTTACTATCAGTAAAGTTCTAAGTATTAGACTAAATGAAGCTTTACATTTGGATGTTATTCATTTATTCAACAAATAATCACAGAGCACCTACTTTCCGCTAGGCCCTGTTCTAGGTGCAGGGAATAGAGCTGCAAACAAAACAGGCAAATCCTCGCTCTCATGAAGCAGCCTACATTCTAGTGCAGCTCAGACAAGCAACGTGCAAACAGATATAATATGACACGGGACAAACGCTGTGGGAAAAATAAAAGAGCATACAGGGCCAAGAGGGGGGAGCATTTAAGACAGGGTTTCAGCAAAGATCTTTTTGATTGCAGCTGAGCAGACAGTTCAGAGGGGGTGGCACGAGAGGGCTCTTAGGAACCTTGCTATGCTGAGGCATCCTGGATGCTTTCAGAAATTTAGATCAGATATGCCTGGAGAGGGCGAGCACAGCCCCTCCTAGGCGAGAGCCCTGGCTGGGACAAAGGCAGATCGGCTCCACTTGACTCCCAGACCAAGATTAAAGTCGTGGGCCTGGATCTCAGGGCTGACAAGCCGGCAGGACATTTTCAGGAAGCGTATACTGCAAACAACACCGGCCACGCTGACTTTTGAAGAATGTCACCTAGCACTGGCGCATACAATCTGAAGTCCAGCATTTTCCGTACATTTAACAATAAGTGGCTGGGACGCTGTTTAATGCTTTTTATCCCTCCTCATGCAGGTTTGAATAACGTTCCCATCTGCACCGTGAATGACGATGACAATGTCCCGTGGGTGGGGGACCAGCCTGCGCACTCCGAGAAGGACGAGACGCCTCGTGCCAGCTGCCCACCCAGCGCCGCGGCCCCGAGGAGCCCGGCCAGACGAGTGTCACCAGCTTCGAACAGCGTCAGAATGCCCCCCCGGCCCCATTCTGGTGAGTCCGTCCCAGCTGATGCAATGTTTCCTTACGCCTCCTGCGAGTAATTGGGAAGAAAAATCGATACGGTTGCTAAAATAGCTGCAGTGAGTTTTTTTTTTTTTAAGTTATAAAGTTTCCTCACTGTGAAATAGATTATTCATTATAAAAATTTTCACTCTTCTAATCTCAATTCAGCAGCGAGATAATGTTTAAACTCTTATCACTGTGTCCAATATGTATTAATTGTGTCCAGTATAAATCTGGCACGGTTCTAGTCTGGAATCCCTAGGACACTAGCTAAGAGATGCCAGCATCGACTGTTTAGCCAATACTGCCAGGGAAACTATGCCTGACAAAAAGTGAGTCCAGGAAACGCAATCTGGATGGACTCGCGTGTTTACAGTTTCCCCGCGAGCTTGTCATCTCCTTCAGGTCAGGCCCTGGATCATTGTCATTCTTCATTTGCCCCTTTGGCCCAGCACAGTGCCTGGTCCTTAGTAAACAATCCAATCGATTAATTTACCAAACTGAAGGGCAAAGGGATTGATCAAAAGTAAAGTGTGACAAAGTCCAAAGGGCAAGGTAAAATAGAAGAAAAAAATTCTGCATGGGGGGGGGGAAATGGGCATTTATTGAAACCTTAATATCGGTACCCCCATAATATGCCGAAATAAAAAAAACATTTTTAAATATATAGATTTTATAATCACTAATAAATTTTAAATCTTTAAAAAAAATTCTGCATGGCAGAAATTATATTTAGTTCTTGTCTTTCTCCAACCCTACAGAATGATATGGTTTTACTAAAACTTTCGGAGTACATGAAAATGGTTACAGTATAATGTGGTAAATCGATTTCTTTCTAATGATAGTAGTATGAAGGATCATTTACGCACAGAGTGCTTGCTGTGTGACAGGTACCATTCTAAGGCCTTCTCACTGAACTCATTCCACCCTTTCAAGAGCTCTCCTGCCCTCCTTTCTACCAGCAATGAAGAGTCAAAGCCTACTTATTCCACCTTCTGTCTGGCGTCCCTCCTTATCCTGTAGAACCTAGAAGCCACATTTGCAAGAAAGATGCATTGATGGGGATTAGGTGTTACCATCCATGAAGGTTTCTATGGCAGACGTGGGGCTGTCTGTCACCTTTTTGGTGGCTTTCTCTTATCAGACATGACTGGAGACGTGAGTTTTTCCGCTGTAACCTCCCAGGGCTCGGGTTCTGGATTCGTGGGCTTTCTGACTGCAGCGTACTCCGCTGCCTAACCTCTGGTCTTACGGATGTCGCAGCAGCCACAGAAGTGGCAGTGGCTGACTCGCCTTCCTCCTGCCTGTCACAGAGACCGTGCCTCCCTTGGTGCACCAGGCCCAGGGGACTGTTCTTGGAGTGACTTGTGATGAGGCATTGCTCCAGCAATATGAAAAACTCCTAATTCCCTGCATTATTTACATTTTTGCTTAAAATAGAACGGTTTCTGTTTCCCAGGAGTGAACACTAACTTAATAGACTCACCATCCATAATGTTGTTTTCATTACTTGGAGAGAGATAACTTTAAACTTTATTTTTCTATCTTTCTTCAGCTAGACCTAATGAATTTAGTTACTATTGGCTATATGCACAAACTCTTTTCATCTTTTTAGAAATGTTTGTGATAACTATGGCTTCCGTAAAAGAGATAGCATTGCTTACACAGAGTATATCTTTAAATTAATGTAAAGGAAAATTAAGCAAAGCTTTAAGTGGCTTTGGGGTGTTTTAGGGGGATTGAATTAGATGACTGAGTATGAAATAGAGAGGCTTATAAAACAAGAAAGAGAAAATAAAGAATGTAATTTTAACTCAGCAAAAATCTTCTCTTTCTGTCTACAGGGCAAATGACAAGCATAAATTCTCTTTAATGAGAGAAAGTGACAGTTACCAGGACAGGAAACAGAGAAAAACACGTCTTATACTGAAATATGTACTTTTAAAATCAGTTTAGCCAGAGCATTGTGTCTTTATAGCATCATCTTAGGCATAGAATTAGTTTTTTAAAATATAAATATGCTTTTATTATGTTATCTTAATGCCATTTTACCTTCAATTCTCCTAACATTTATAAACAGATCCCGGAGTTGACTTTCATTTAAATTCAGATGTACTCCCATCTATTTCAGCAACTGACACATACATCACGTGATAGAATTCTTTATCAGTTTAATCTAAATGTATTTTTCCTCAATTTCATTTCAGAGCCCAGTAGAAAAATTGAAGAGTGGTTCAAAACTTCCATTGATAATCCCTTAGTAATTAAAAAGGTAAAGAAACAGCTATTTACAGTTCTCTATTTGGTTTGGCTTCTATAGTCTCCTCCTTTTTTTCTCACACACCTTTCTGAAATGCCACCATGTTTCACACTACTTTTACAGAGTTAGTAGAGTGTAATTAACATGATATAAGATGCACATATTCAAAGTACAGAGTCTGATGAGTTTTGACAATCACATGCACACACCAGGGAAATTACCCCTGTATTCAAGAGAACGCACATCTCTGTCACCCTCAAAGTCTTCTCGTGGTGCTGGCCCCCCCACAAGCAAATATTTGTCAGCTTCCTGTCACTAAAGATTAGCATGGGATTTTCTGAATTTTAAATTAATAAAATCATATAGTGAGTTAGTGCATTCTCTTTATAAAATCTGGTTTCTTTAACTTAGCACAATTATTTTAAGATTTGTCCATGTTGTTATGTGCATCCATAGTTCGTTCCTTTTTATTGTTGACTAGTATTCAGTTGTGTGGTTATCTTACAATTTGTTATCCATTCACCTGTTGAGAGACATTTACGTTGCTTCTAATTTTTTTTTTTTTTTTTGCTCTTTTGCTCAGGCTAGAGTGCAGTGCTGTCATCATAGCTCACTGCAACCTCCAATTCCTGGGTTCAAGGGATCCTCCTGCCTCAGTCTCTGGAGTTGCTAGGACAACAGGCGCTGGGACAACAGGCACATGCCACCATGCCTGGCTAATTTTTTTCTATTTTTTGTAGAGACGGAGTCTTACTATGTTGCCCAGGCTGGTCTTGAACTAGTATCTTCGCAGATCATAGTGGACTAAAATTAGAAATCAATTCCAAGAGAAACACTCAACTCTACACACAGTCATGGAAATTAAATAACCTGCTGAATGATTATTGGATCAATAATCATTAAGATGGAAATAAAAAATTATTTAAGAAATTAAGATGGAAATAAAAAATTTCTTTGAACTGAATGACAAAGGGGACACAAGCTGTCAAAATCTATGGGATTCAGCAAAAGCAGTCCTCAGGGGAAGATTCATACCCTTAAATGCCCACATCAAAAAGACAGAAAGAGCACAAATTAATAACCTTTTTTTTTTTTCACTTTCATGGATCTCTCTTATTAACTACAATAGTTCTCATTCATTTTACATTCAATTTTCATAGAAAATACAAGTGGATGCAAATGCATATTGATTATATTGCATCTTTGATTTAGGAAGAAATTAAGGCCAAAAAGCCACCATCAACTCCAAAGGTCTCCTCTACTGCTGGTTCCTGTTCTTCAGGGATGGCGAGTACCAAGAATGAAGTCAAAGCCAACACCGTTTGCATACCCAACTATCTGGATCAAGAAATAAAAGTAAGAGGCAGGCTTGTTAAGTTCATAATGTGGGAATAACATGAAAATACAAAAAAAAAAAGTCACATCATTAGCATATTTAAAACACTTGAATGGTTCCTTATTAATAACTAAATTGATTTAAAACTACTTAGCCTAAAATCTAAGGCGTACTCCTATTTTCATCTCCAGTCTTACTTTTCTTCTAGAATCCTGCCACTCTTACATAAATGCAACCTTTGGTTTATGATGAAAAGCTTGGTGTTTGCCAAACATACCCATTCCTGTCCTTTCCATGTTTCTCTTTATCATCTTTGTACTGCTTGAGAAGCATTACTCCTAACTTCTTGCCACTGTCTATAAAGTTATGTCGCCTATTTTAAGGCAAAGATTCCTCCAGCTAACATTCTCCTCTCCGTCTTATCTTTGGAAAACCATTTCCTCAAACTTCCTCTGTCTGGAGTTATACCCTTAGTTATATTAATTAGTAATATGTTATACAGCCTCCTGGAAGGTTCTCCCCAGCCACAGTTATTTCTGAGAATGACATAAAATCAAGAAGAAATCAACCAGCTGATATTTGTCACCTGCCATTTGTCCTCCTTCGTTGAACCCCTATAGGACCCTCCACATTGTCCGCCATGTGACCCACTATAAGGAATTTGGGGTCAAAGTATTGTAATGAAGACCCTTACAGCAATTTTAAGTAATCAGTGTCTGCAGTTACAATTACAAATAACAGAGCAAGATGTGAGGATGGTTATTGAATAAGTCCCTAACAGGGAACTATTTTAAAAGTAGAACGTATTAGTGGCATTGGTATAATACTTCATGCTGGTGACTAAAATCGGAAAGGAGAATAAAAGGAAAGATGTCGAGGGAGACTATCTGCAGATCTGACTTGTGTTTATACGTGATTTCCTGGGGATTCTGGCTAATGACAGATATTATACAGAGTCATCAGAATTATTATCTGCCCACCTTGCCTGCCACGCTGATCTTCCTAAAATTTGTTGTTTCCCACCTTAAGGGATTTGCCCAGAGAATTCTCTCCCTTTTGATTCTCTCAGTGATCACCTTCTCATTCAGGCCTCAGTTTACATTTCACTTACTCAGAAATACTTCCCCTGACCACCCAATCTAAAGTAGCTACCTAGTCACTGTCTAGGTTATTTTTTATTTGTTATTTTTTGTATAACATATGCCGTATCTGCTATGTTCATATTTATTTGTTTGGATCAATATCTTCTCTCTCTCTACCCTACTCCCACTAAAATTTAAGTCATATGAGATCTCATCCTTATCTTTCCTGGTTACTGATTTATCTTCAATACCTAGATGAGTGTTAGACATCTAGTAATTATCAAAGAAGTATTTGTGGAAGGAATGAATCAAAAAGAAAAGTACTACAAGATCAAACAAAATCAGCTAACTATAAAGGCCCTCAACTCAAACAAACCATAAGCTGAGTGCATTTTGAGTAAGATTGTCATGTTTCCACGTGAACATATCAGCATGATCCTGTGTAACTTACTTTGTGGGCATCTGTTAAAGAGCCCTCCTCTCAAAAGCATCTTCCATCTTACGGATATCAACTTCCCTGGACATTAATTAACTTTTTAAAACCCCACTAAAATGTAAAGTCTTTGAAAGCAGAGATCTTGTCTGCCTTGTTCTCAACTGAGTCTTCAGCACTCATCACTGCGCTTGAAAAATATTAACCGGTGCACAGAACATGACTTTTTACAAAATAGTTGTTGACTATTAGTTAAATAAAAGAAAGAAAAGGGAATAAAGTGCTCAAATAGGTCTTATCAAGATTTTTTTGGTTACATAAAAGAGCTCTAAAAATAGAGCTCATCTTGGAGGTATTCCATCTTTCCATGCCTTTTATAAAAAAAAAACCTCTGAAATATTTTCCAATTTTCTTCTATCCGGGGGTAACTCTGAATGGGTTGTGAAATCGAGACGTTTTTGCACAGGGGTGTATGTGAAAGAGTATGCAGTTTCAATTATTACTTTAAAGGAAAAGAAAAACAGAATTCTTTGTTTATTAGCACCTCATTTTAAGCCTTCCTCTCAAAGATCTGGAATTTATAGACACAACAGTCTCTTTATTACTGACATCAAAATTCTGCCAAACACATCCACTTATTCTACAAATATTTAATGTCAAACTACAAAATACTACAGTTTGGGGATAGAACTGATACCTTCATTCACGGAGTGTGTGAGAGGGATGGTGCAGGTGTTGTTGAAGATGTAGCAGGAGAATTTGTAGCGAGGAAGGCCTTCGTGGAACGAGAGACCTAAAGAATGTTTAAGATGTAATTAGAAGATGAAGAAAGGTATGGAAGAGGTCCTTCCCCGGCAAGAGACCATCATGTGTTAAGGGTAAGGAGTGAGAGTGTTGCTTATTCAAGGAACTAAAAGCAATTAACATGGTTGGTGCAGAGAGTGCAGGGAGAGAGTGGAAGAGATAGGGCTGGACCTACGCAGGGTACTTTGTTAGCCATATGAAGGTGTCCAGTTTTCATCCCAGGGTCTGTGGGAAGCCAGTCAAGAATTTTAAGCACTTGATGGTACTGAATTACTTTGTAAGTGCAAGAATTACATGGTCAAAATTGTACTTCAGAAAAATCATTCTGAATACAATAGGCAGAACTAATCTGGGGGGATGAGGTGGCAAAGTTGTAAGCAATGGACTTTGGTTCTAAAATGATGGATAGGTTCAAAACTTCACCTGTTGTAAACAGCTGTATAATTCCACAAAATATATAAAGAAATTGTTTTCAGGTATTAGAAACTGACAGTACAGATTTATGACCATTGAGAGAAGATAAACAGTTGGGATAATTTCCATATTCAACCCAGACTTCTGCCTGGGGCACCTGCCCCGTCATAGCACAGAGAAGCAGAGCTCTCTCGAGACCAAGTGGAGACCAGCAGGTTCACTGGGTATAGAAAACAGAGTTCAGAATTTGGGGATGCTAGGGTGACCAGAGTTTGCAAAGAAGAGAAATCTGTGCATAGAATGAACTCCAAAAATCTGTATAGGGTCCCACTGAGCCTTTGGTCCAACATTAAGCTGCACATGCACAGGGTGAAATTCTAAGACTTGGCAGAAGGGAGCTAATGGGAGGTATCAGAGCTTAGAGTTGCTGGAGTTCTTATTTTCCAAAGTGAAGAGACCTTGCTGAACATACTAGGAATTCAGCTGAGACCCCAGAAAAGTCACACCTTAAGAATAGATGTGAATACTGTACCATTAGAGTAGAGGCTACTCTAGACTCAGACTCTCGAATCCTAAAATCAAGTTTCAACAGATTGAGCTCATCTGCCAAAATATTAACAGCCTTCCAGGACAAAACTGAACACTCTTTAAAGGGAGACAAACAAAATATAGATGCTACACAATGTAGCATATATAAAGGCCATCACATAATAAAGACTTATTAGAAATTCAAGGAACAGGAAACTATAACCCATAACCAGAAGAAAGAAAAGAGTTAATAATCAGGCACAAAAATGATGCAGATGTTGAAAGGACCAGGGAAGGCCCTAAAAGGGGGGGGGAGCTCTAAATATTTCAAGAATTTATAAGAAAAGATGGATATAATGAGTGAACAGATGGGAAATATCACAAGAGAAATTAGACATCATACAAAAAGAGGACTGAAAGGAAATTCTAGAATTAAGAAATACAGCCATGCACCACATAATGATGTTTCGGTTAACAATAGACCACATATACAGCAGTGGTCCCATAAGATTATAATATGGTATTTTTATTGTACCTTATCTATGTTTAGATACACAACTACTTAACATTGTGATACAATGGCCTACAGTATTCATTCCGTACAGTACAGATGCGGTACAGATGTGTGGCCTAGTGGTGAAGTCTATACCATATAGCCTAGGTGTGTGCTAGGCTATACCACCTTGGTTTGTGCAGACATGCTTGATTATGTACTTAAAATGATGTTCACACGTGATGAAGTCACCTAATGCCACATTTCTCAGAATGTATTCCTGTCATTGAACAATGCATGAATAAAAAATTTCAAATTTCAAAAATTTAAGGTTACTCTTCTCCTAGAAATCATGAGGTCATTGAAGAGAAGTTCTCGGAGGGATTCCAAGGGATAACTTCAACAGACTTCCAAGGGTGGAATCACAGAGAGAGTCTACTCATCGGATGTTTTTCCATTTCTCCAGACCTGGTGCACACTGGGTTGAGACCCTTGGGTCAGCCATGGCTCCCTGACACTCAGAAGTCTGGATGGCAGGCCTGGCTGTCCCTGCCCAGCCGTGGAAACAAATGCCTGTCTCAGGGAACTGGAAGCTACTTTGATTCATTATGCACTTTCTTAGGTTCCCATAACAGAGACTGTGGGTTTCCTAGGAGGAGATATGCATTCTACATCCTCTCGCTAAAAGGATAATGACATTCTCTAGGATATAGCTGATCAGTGAGTGAGCTGTGACTTAGAAGAAGCTAGGAGTGATGCACAGTCACTATATTGATGACAAAGCCATAGAGGCAGAGTGGCCTAGAAAATACCACAGGGCTCCTTTCTGTTTTTGATACTCCTTTCTGTTGTTGATTTGTTGTGAAATTAGGAGCAAATTTAACACGGTCACTTCTAGAATATGGCATCATTTAGAACAGAAATCTCAGCATAATAACAAAATTCAACGCAGGACAGTTGATTTTTCAGCCATTTAATTTTGATTCTATATCTTCAGCATCTAGAATAATGAAGGACACAAATGTTTCTTGAATTAACAATAATGTAAGATTCCAGGCAGCTTGACTAGGAGAAAGAATGTTTCAGTAGCTCAGACAAGAATTGGTGTGGCTTTAGATTAGGTCAAGGTAGTGGGGTTAAAGGGAAATGGAGCCTTTGGAGAAATATTTATTTGCTGAACCCGTTGTATGGCGCATGTTGTAGAGGAGGGTGAGGGAGTCGTCCAGGATGGTCTCGGGCTGGCTCAGATGGTGATTTTCCTTGAGGTCAGAGAACCTGGACAAAGAACAAGTTTGGAGCAGGTTTTAGGGAGAGAAATACGGGTCTAGTTTCAGGTATTTGGGGTTCAAAGTATCTGTAGTATATTTAAGTGGATACATCAGGTATGCAAATGGGTATATAGGACTGAAGTTTATGAGACAGATATGAATACCAGATAAATCTAAACTCCCAGGCTGGGCGCGGTGGCTCACGTCTGTAATCCTAGCACTCGGGGAGGCCGAGGCAGGAGGATAGCTCGAGGTCAGGAGTTCCAAACCAGCCTGAGCAAGAGCGAGACCCCATCTCTACTAAAAATAGAAAGAAATTAATTGGCCAACTAATATATATAGAAAAAATTAGCCAGGCATGGTGGCGCGTGCCTGTAGTCCCAGCTACTCGGGAGGCTGAGGCAGGAGGATTGCTTGAGCCCAGGAGTTTGAGGTTGCTGTGAGCTAGGCTGACGCCAGGGCACTCACTCTAGCCTGGGCAATAATGTGAGACTCTGTCTCAAAAAATAAAATAAAATAAAATAAAATAAAATAAAATAAAATAAAATAAACTCCCAACAGCAGACACAATTAAGATCCAACTGGAAACTTCATTATCTGGGCTTACTGAACACTTTGTACCTTTATTTTAATGATTATAGTCCGTTTTTATTAGATTAATTATTTCATATTTCTATCTCCTTTATCACCTACATTTCAGCCCTTTAGCTCCAGATTTAAAAAAAATGTCAAGGAAGGATTCTGATTAACTAAAGAGAATTACATTCCTACCCCACTGGGCCAATCTCTGTGTTAAGGAACTGAGGTGCAGTGACGAACCCGCTCAGATCACACCCCCCTCGCAGTCTACGGAGAGGAGGGGGACAGACCTGGCCAGTTGCGACTGGCAGAGTCTCATCAGAGCCCTGTGCAGCAGTGAGAAAGAAAGGATCAGTTCCCCAAAAGATATAAATTGCTCCTACCAAGAAGATGTTGGTACTGAACAGACAAAACAAGAGCAACGTGCTACATCACCGTACCCGAGCTATTACTGGTCCTAGAAAAATGTCAGTTTTGCTAAGAGTACTCTGTGTTCTTTTTGAAGCCTGGCTCTCGAGCTATCATCCAGTTGACTTAATGGAGCATCACATACAGAGTGACATTTGGGGAGATGAGATTCTGAGAAAGGCAAAGGAAACCTCATGACCTTGTACTGTCGATTTGCTCACGTGTAACTCTAATATTCTCTGTCAGATCCTGGCGAAGCTCTGTGACATTTTACATACTGATTCTCTGGCAGAAGTTCTGCAGTGGCTGCTTCATGCAAGTTCAAAAGGTGAGACGAGGATAAGCATTTTTAAACACGGAGCTCCGTTTATTTTTAGAAACTGGGAATATGCCAATGTGTAAAGTTTTCGACTTTGAGTTTGCAAAGATAATATTGCAGCGTTATTCCCACAGCATTTCAGTATCAGAATCATTGCAGTCCTGTATGTCCAACTGCATGCATGTTGGTCATTCAGTGACCCCAAATTTAGCATGTCTCAGATTGGACTCATTTGGGTGATATGAAATGCTCGTCTCTAGGAAGGCCTTGTTTTCAGCGAGGGCTGGTTTGTGCTTCTCCTCCACAGTCCACACACCCAGGGCTCTCCTTGAGCAGCTCTTCCGGCCTGCTGGGAACCCTGAACACAGCTTCTTTCTTTCCTTTGCTGTGGCTGGCAGCAGCACAGCCTGCCAAGTTCCAGACTCCAACAGCTCTGCCCATCCCCATCAACTGAGTCGTCTCCCCGCCTCCTTTGGGCCCTTCTTGTCCTGTCCCCTGAGGACACATGGCATTCCCAAGCAGGACAACCACAAGGGGCACAGAGCAGCTATCCTCAGTTCTAGCGAGTCTCCCTAGACTGACTGAGGCACAACCTCTGAGGTGGAACCTGAGAATTTGCATTTCTAGTAAGTTCCCAGGGGGTGCCAATGATGCTGGCCTGGGGGCCACTCTCTGAGAACCACTGCACTGATCAGTTTGGGAAAGACCAATGTCTGAGGAACAGAGTAAGGTCTCCAAATGAGCAGCATTTTGCAAACAGTGTTTTCCCCTAGGAATTCAATACTTCTTTGCAGGCAGTTGAGAAGTGCTTGGGGGCAATGAGTCTCTAGCTATTCTCTTTTTTTTTTCCTTTTTAAGAATGTAACATTTAATAAAGTACACAGGTGATAAATGCTTCTTGTTAGGAGAGAGAGCAGATGAACCAGAAAGAAAAAGAAAAAAATGAGAAAGAACAGGAATAATCAATAAAATCACCACACACATCATTTCAGTGAATACTTTGGTGTCTATCTCTCTAGATGTACTTGTGATCATTGATTATTTCTAGCCAACATGCTAATGACAACGTTTGCTCCCCCACTTTTTAAATCAGAAAAAGAGTGGGTCTCAGCTTTGGTTCATTCGGAGCTGGCCGAGATAAACCTGTTGACTTCTGGCAGAAGCAGCGCGTCAAAGGAACCAGTCACGGGGACTGGGAAGCCACTCACGGGGACTGGGAAGCCACTCACGGCGAACACAACACCTGCAGTGACGCCCCCAAATTCACCTGCAAAGCCAACAGCGCTGAGCAGCATTAGAGAAGAACTTCAGCCAGCCAGGTGAGGCTATATCATGGCCGCCTGCAGCACCTGTGGTACATAAAGACTGAATTCTCTTGTCGTTTACCTTTCAAAATGCTAACAACGTTGCCATGCTAAGTCCCCTCTTTATTCAGTAAATGATTACAATCTATGTTTGGTTTTCTTTTCTTAAATGTAATGTGAGTGTTGTTCTCAATTCTATTGTTTAGAACATTTTGGCAGGAACCATGAATATGTCTTCCTTATCCAATAATCTTTCTTTTTGAGGAAAATTTCCTTTTCTCTAAAGGCAAAGCAAGAGCAGTTACCTTAGAAGTCTAAGAAAATAGAAGTTTTGCTTTGTGTGTTTTTTTTAGTTTGACTAAGAATAGAAGCAATTAAGGAAACCAAAATTCTATTGTTACGGTTATTTGTATGTTTTGTCAAATGTGTATCACCCAGATATCACTTTTTTGTGCAGAACAATGCAAGAGTAAAATAAATTGCTTCACTTCATTTTCTCTGACTTATTCCTGAGGGCTTCCAGAGAGAAAAATAACTACCAAGAGAATTGGAAATTATTTCAGGAGAATTTTTTCTTAAACCCTGTAGTTTCAGTAACAGAAAAAAATACATATTTATATAAGCTATCAAGATGAAAGAATATGTCATGAGATGTTATTTAAACTGGGAGAGAAAATTTTGTGCTTTAAAATTGAAAGTTGAGTAAAGCTTAAAGTTAGAAAAATATAGTGTTTTTGAAAACATAAATATGTCACTTTAAAAAAGCATTATGACAGAAAAAAATTTTGTATTGTTATTTGATCAGAAACTGGGAGATAATAAAGGGTCATTCTCTATCTTAGTGACTAACATGATATGCTTGCTAGATATGTACTCAGAACAAGAAGAATTTTTCATTAGGAAGTAAATTTAATTCTGTATGCATTAAAAAACGAAGAACCGGGTGAGCATACTTAAGATACACATATACTGGGCTTCTTGATGATAGTGTAGTCTATAAAAAATACTTGTCTGGATGTGTGAAATTTACTTTTTTTTTTTCTTTTTAAAAAAATATTAGAATGGAGTTTATTAAAACTCAAATCCTTATAACACAATGTTGAGTGCCAAAAATTTACCCTGGAGAGGGTCTCGGACTTTCTTCCCACCCTCTTCCCTCCAGGTTCCTCTCTCCCTACCCCGGCCCTTCTTTCTCATGGGAAGGGCTGTAGGACTAAAACTAAACAATAACAGCAGCAGCAACAGCAAAGAGTAAAGGCCAAATGCAGAGCAGGACTGGGCATTAGCTCGTGCCTAAGAAGATGTCACTTAAAAGGTAAAAGTAGAGAAGGGAAAACATCTACATTTCTTTTATTGACATTTCCTCATCCTTTATATAGGTAGATATAGATATATCACCTTCAATCTGTAAAGATTAATAAAACTGGCAGAATTTGTCTCTGAAATAGGTGAAATTCACTTTTTTCTTTCTCCAATTGATTTAGACTGTCAAGTCAAGGATCCGAAGGAAATAAGGGACTGCCACAAGGTTAAGTACAGTTTGTGATAACTACTAAGTTGGTATAACGAAACCAGTAAGTACTAACTACTTAGGGGATAGATTTTAAGGACTTGTGCTTTTCAAGGAAAAACAGAAAAATATAATGGTGATTTCCAGCTCAACCCTTAAGGAATCGCAGCTGATGAATTTCTCCTGGAGATCAATTGTTTGGGAAAGCAAAGTGGCTGATCAGGGACACTAAGAGACAAGGCAGCAGGACGGCAGGAGCTACAGTTTTGGTCATGCCGATTCAGTGACAAGGGAAACCCTGCACTGACCTAACAAAGGACAGTGGTCTCAGAGTTTTGGCTCTTCACAGCTTAACCGTCATGGTGCTAAGTGATTTCACTGGAAACAAAGTCAGCCAGAGAACAGAGTAACATGGCAATAGCCACAAGCAGATATTCTACGAGACAGCTGAAATATAATGATAAATTTGAAAAGAGGAGTTTTGTGCCCCTACCAGAGGCCCAGTCTGCAGTTTGGATCAGGGAGAATCAAGAATTGTGCAAAGTCCTACTTGGGTTCAGAATAGCCGAACTGAAGCATCCTGGTAGATTTGCCAGCTTCTAGCTTTCAAGCAGGAATAGCAATGATGACTATAGCAGCAACTCTGAAGCATCATCTACATTATCTATTACTTCTACAACTTCCCTTTCTACCAGGAACGATATAATAATCAATTAGAGTTCCTTGGGGTCACTCTGTAGACCCCAGCAAGTTCCACTGGAGTTAACCAAACCCAAAAGAGGCTTTATCTGCTAAGAGGCAATAGTAAGTGTAGTTTAGAAATTAGAAAGGATTTCCTTACTCGGACTCCAAGGATAGCCCATCATATCTGGCCTCTCCTGCCAAACTCCTCACCCCGGGACCACCAAGTCATGGCAGTGATGTTTCTATTATTCAACTTTATGTCTTACCTGTACGGTCCACATATATTTTATAATCTAGAGACTTAGAAATATTTTTGTATAAGAATCTCCCAAATCATGCCCCTGTCCCTCCATGATTGATATTGAACATTTCCTCAAATCCCTGTTCCTGCTTGGATGCAACCATGGAGGCCTTTGGAAAGTCTTATAACTAATTTGTTTTAACCTGCTTGTCTATTCTCTTATTTTGAATATTGGGACCATAATCTTTTTCCTTTCTCTTACTTGTCCCTTCCATACCCATCACTAACCCACCCAATTCTAAGTCATTCCTACCAAAATCATACTTGCTTCTTATTGCATGTTATAGAACAAATAACTCATAAAAGATGTGCAGATGGGAAGAAATTCTTTTATGCATTTTGGGTGTGTCTAATTCACCTAATCTTTTTTTTTTTTTTTTTGAGACAGAATCTCACTCTGTTGCCTAGGCTAGAGTGAGTGCCATGGCATCAGCCTCGCTCACAGCAGCCTCCAACTCCTGGGCTCAAGCGATCCTCCTGCCTCAGCCTCCCGAGTAGCTGGGACTACAGGCATGCGCCACCATGCCGGGCTAATTTTTCTTTATATTTTTAGTTGATCAATTAATTTCTTTCTATTTTTAGTAGAGACGGGGTCTTGCTCTTGCTCAGGCTGGTTTCAAACTCCTGACCTCGAGCAATCCGCCCATCTCAGCCTCCCAGAGTGCTAGGATTACAGGCGTGAGCCACCACGCCCGGCCTCACCTAATCTTCACACAGTTTTTTGGTATATCATTTGTTACTAAAACATAGCAGAAGCTGTATTCAATGTCTCGATTATGGTCTTATTTCATTTTCTTTTTCTATTTCAGAGGCTGACCATAAGCCCCCGTTGTTTATAAGAAGAAACAAGATGAAAATACCTGTTACAGACTATTTTGGCAAACCAAAGTCTCCTCCCAGGCCTAATTCTCAGGATTGTGTATCAACAAAACCAATGTCAGCAAAGAGTATACAGCAAGGATACAATCTCTGTCCCCAAAGAGCATTTTATCCTTCAGCATACGAAAGGCAGAAAGTCTAGACTGGGCTAATTCTTTCATTAACATGGGATTCACATTTACAACATTGAATGTTTTCTTAAAAAGAATACTTTTGGTATTGAGGAATCAAGCAGTCCTCTCTATGGTGGTACATGTAAATGTCAAAACATCTGTGTATACTACTACAAATAAATAATAATGGAGACAGTTTTTCTCTTTGTGGTTAATTTTAATACCATGTGTAAAAAATAATGTTTATTTATAAACATTTCCAGTTTTATTATTAGTATTAGTTAGTACATAAATATAAGGCCCTGATACTAGAAAAATCATCCATAATCAGAATTAGGCAGTTACAGTCTCCACCTATCCTGAACTCTGTTAGAAGAAAAAAGAAAAAAACAACTACCAAAATACTGAGAATTTTAACATGTGAACTGATACTTTGCAATCTACAAGGTTTCAGTGTTGTTGAGCTACTATGGAAAAAATGCTCAGTTCCCCCCAAAAAGGAAAAGATATAAAACTTATTTCTAACTTATGAGTGAGAAAAGAGCTAGTTTCCACTCAATGCCAATGGTAGATACTAACAAATTACCTAATATTTTTGTATTTTAAAAATAAACCACTCAGGCCATTGCCATCATTTTTTTAGTATGTGGCTGAATTCTGGCTACCAATTAGCCAATGTTTTATTTCGAATGTTTGCATTGGTATTCAAGAGATGCTATAAAAATTCATGTGTGTGCGTGCACATGTATGTCTGTGTATGCATGGAATCTTAGTGATAACGTGTATTATGTGTCAAGAGTCATTCTAAACAGTTTAGATACAGTAACTTGTTTAGTTTTCACAAAAATATTTGAGGTGGCTACTAATATTATGATTCCATTTTAAAAATAAGAAAACGGAGTCACAGAGAGTCGAACTCTTGTGATAGAATAAGTTGTAACAAAAGCCATCAAATAAAAAATACGGAATTTCTCACGTAAGAGTCCAAAGTGTGTGTTCTTAGTCAGTACATGACTTTGCTTTACTTGGTGACGTAGGGGCCCAAGATCCTTCCATCTTGTGGCTCAACCATCACCCAGGGCTTCTAGGTGTCACTGTCAACTCTATCCAGCTGGCAAAAGGGGACAATGGGAGTGGGAGAAAGCACTGGTTCTCTCTTGCTGCTGTAATTACTACAAACTTAGTGCCTTAATGCGGCACAAATTTATTCTCTTACAATTCTGGAAGGAGAGGTCCAAAATGGGTCTCACTGGGCTAAAGGTGTTGGCAGGGCTGCGTTCCTTTTGGAAGATTCTCCAGGGAAGAGTCTGTTTCCTTATTTTTTCCATTTTCTGTAGTCTACCCTTTCTCCTAGGTTCACGGCAGCAATGGCCAGTTGAGTTGTTCACTCTGACATTGACTCTTCTGACTCCTTCTTCCACTTTTATTTTTATTTTATTTGAGACAAGAGTCTCACTCTGTTGCCTGGGCTAGAGTGCCGTGGCGTGAGCCTAGCTCACAGCAACCTCAAACTCCTGGGCTCAAGCAATCCTCCTGCCTCAGCCTCCCAAGTAGCTGGGACTACAGGCATGCGCCACCATGCCCGGCTAATTTTTCTATATAGTTTTAGTTGTCCAGCTAATTTATTTTCTATTTTTAGTAGAGACAGGGTCTTGCTCTTGCTCAGGCTGGTCTCAAACTTGTGACCTTGAGTGATTATCCGACCTCAGTTTCCCAGAGTGCTCTTCTTCCACTTTAGAAGACCCTTGTAATTACATTGGGCCTGCCTATTATCCAACTAATCCAAAATAATCTACTTGTCTTAAAGTCAGCTGATTAGCAACTTAATTCTATCAGCAACCTTAAGTTCTCCTTACCATATAACAAAACACATTCACGGGGTCCAGGGATTAGGATCTTTGAGGAGACATTATTCTGCCTTCTACAAGGAGAGTACATCTGCTTAAAGTCTTGGCCTTGAAATGTAAACATCCTTTCTATTCACATTCCATGGTTGAGAACTAGCCTAACTGAAAAAGAAGCTGATCCAAAACTCTTGAGTAGAGACTATATTCCAGCTACAGCTATATTCTATGAAAAAGGAAATTCGATTTTGGTGGATAGTTGACTCTCTCTGACACAACTGGCTCAAAGTGTGGCAGGAGTCTATGTGCTTGACCCCTAGGTGCTACTGATACATATTAAGCTCATGCTCAATTAATAAAATTAATATAGAAGTGTTGTCTCTCTCTTGCCTGTTACGAAGAGGTTGCAACAGCATTGCCAATTCCTTTCTCTTGAAAATTTGGTAAAATTCACCTATCAGACCACACAGGTTTTGTGTTTTAGGGGGCGGTAGCCCTTTGACAATTTTATTTCTTCTATGGTATGGTCTCTTTAGATTTTCTGTGCTTTGGGGGGAGTTGCTTTGGAGATTTATATTTTCCTAGAAAATTATCTATTTCATCCAGGTTTCCAAATTTATTTTCATAGAATTGAGACAGATTTGTCTCATAATTCTTCAAACTTTCTCATTGTTTACTCTGCAATCTCATGTATTCGTAATTTTCTTTTTGCCTTCTTAGCTAATGGCTTTTTACATTTTACTACCATTTTCAAAAGACCAGATCTTGGATTTATTCACATGTTCAACAATATTCCCATTTCTATTTCATATCTCCTTTCATTTTTTATTTAATTTCTTTAGGGCCCATTTTTTATTAGTTTCTTCTGGTTCACTCTTGTTCTAATGTCTTGAGTTGAATGTTTTTAATATATTTATATTCAGTCATTCCCATTTATTAGCATAAGTTTTTAAGGTGATAGATTTTCCTCTAATCACAGCTTTAGCTGGATCTATAAGTCTGATCTGTATTGTTTTTATTACCTCTACTTCCAAAATATCCTACAATTTCAGATTTGATTTCCTCTTTCATCCAAAAATGGCTTGAGAGAAATTTTAAAAATTCTAGGTGGTAAGGATTTTATCTCATCCCACCAAGTTTTTTTTTCTAGTTTAATGTATTGTTATCAGAGAAGTGGCCTATATAATTTCTACTTTTGGAAATGTCTCTTCCTTTGTGGTCTAATATAGCTACTTTTATGAATATTCCATGGACACTGGAAAACAAGGAACATTTTTGTTTTGAGCAGATAGAACCTGATAAATATCACTATCTGCATTATTAATTAGAGCCCTTACATTTTCCATATATTTATGTTTTGTCCACTGTGCTGTCATGGGTTAAGGGTGAATTAAAGACTCCTTATACTGAAGAAATAATATTTCTTATTATTTCATGTAACTTTTTCTTAATGAAACTACGCTATTTGGTACATAGATATTCATAACTGTTAGATCTTTACTAAACATTGCATTCTTGACCATTACAACATGCCCTCCTTTTCCTTGTTTATTTGTAATGTGTTGAACCTTACTCAATGTTAAGATTTTGACTTCTTTCATTAGCCTTATGTGTTTTTTCTTATTTTACTTTCAACATTGCTAACTTTAAATGCAGTATATATTTACTTTTTTAAATCAAATCTGAGTGGCTTTTAGACCGTTTATATTTGCTGATAGGACATACAGATTTTGTCTTGTGTGGTTACGGTATTTTATGTTAGCATTATTTTTATTGCTTTTATAAATGTTTCTTTAAATGATCTATAATTTCCTTGTTTTGTTTAGTGAGTATTCATTTGGTAATTTAGAAAGTTTACATTCTAAAAATCTTGCCTAAGCCTGGGTACCTCAGAAAGTAGAGCCTGAAACAAAAGTTTATATATTAATACTTTTTTAGGGCAGGCAATGTGAAAGAGGAAGAGAAACAAGGGAAATGAGGCAAGAAATTAGAAAAAGCTAATATAAGAAAACATTATTGAATTAGCTACTACTTGGTTTCAAACACAATTGTTTGCTCAAACCCTAAGAGAATGGGTGAATGAGACAACATTCCCATTTTTCATATGAGCATGTTGAGACTTACAAAGGTTGAATAACTTGCCCAAAGTCATATACAACAGTGGCAGTGGCAAGGTTTACGCTTAGTCCAATTCCCCTCTCTTCCCATTGATCCTGCAGTGTACTCCCTCTTAATTCTGTCACTGGTTCTCTTCTTCACATTTACTAAGTGCCTAATATATGTGTGGGGCATTGAGTTAGGAAAACAGACGTAAATATCTCTATGCTAAGATCAAAATTTAATACCTGTATATGCCTTTGCTGTGTTTAACTCTAATCCCTGCCATTATCTTTTCTTTTTTTCTTTCTTACTCATTTTACACAGGTTGTCTGTACGTGTTCTCAGTGCTCTATGGACAATTCTTGTTTTTATCTACATCATCTCAATGACCCTTTCCATCTATAAGTGAAATATCACTTTACCTTGTAATTGCCAGTAATTGGTGGGTTTCATCATTGCTCATGCACCTCCTAAAAAACATTTCTTCAGTATAATTTTTCTTTTTTCCATTCTGAGCATTTTCAAATGCTGCAAGATGTAAACACACGGATGTCTGAAGAATTAGACTGAAGAATGGTCCTTCCCTTAAGAAGCAGCTTGCTTTATGAAGAATATAGGTTACTAAAGAAACTGAATGAGGGAAAATCCTAATAGTTCAGCAGACATCTATCCTTTTGATGCATTTATTTAAGTATTAAATTCCCTAACTTTATTATGTTTTAATAAAAGTAACTTTAATATTTACTAAGGTTTAATATAAGGAATCTAAATAAACCAAAGCAATGTTGAGAGAAAAGGATACATTAAAATGAAAAAAAAAAAACCTTAATAATATTTTTAGAATCAAACTTTTTAATTATCTCGGAAATTAGTTATTTCAAAAGAGGTGGTAATCTCACCTGCTTACCACCAATAGCCTAGATAAGACATGGGCTTGTAGTGGGTGGAACTGTATCTCCTAAAAAGATATGTGACCTAATTTAGAATAAGGTCTTAGCAGATGCAATAAAGTTAAGGTGAGATCATATTGGATCACGGTGAACCTTAATCCAGTGATGGTCTCCTTACAATAGGAAACTCTAGACATAGACGCAGACATGGAAGACAGAGGGCAGATGACCATGTGACAACAAAACAGAGATGAGTGATGCCAACGCAAGTTAAGGAACACCAGGCATCGCTGGCAATCACCAAAAGCTAAGAAGAGGCTAGAAAAAATATTCTTCCCTAGGCCTTTAGAGGAGGCAGGGCCCTGTGATAGCTTCATTCTGGGCTTTTAGCCTCCAGAACTTTTAGAGAATAAATTTCTGTTGTTTTAAGCCACTCAGTTTGTGGTCATTTGTTCTGGCACTCCTAGGAAACTAATACCGGTCTTTTTTATAATTGATGAAAATTAAACTATGTAATATCTGTAATGATTTTTTACCAACTTTCATAATTAAACAGTGCCCTATTCCATATGAAATAATTTAAGTAAAAGGCATAATATTTCTAGCTAGTAAATAACACTTAACTCAGAAAAACCTAAACCTTTGAAATATAAAACTTAAGACATAAGCTTTGTTATTTTAGAATTGTAGGGCTTTTCTTTATTTACATACCTTACTTATAGACTTGACTTTACAACAGATAACTATGATAGATTACTAAGAATAAAACAACAAAAAGCAAAAGACAGTGAACATCAATACTAAATCCAATAAACTTTCTACTTAGTAACATACATAAGTTATGTACTTTTAATATAACTTTTATATATTTAAAAAAACAGAAAAGAAGAACAATTTATTTTACTCAAATTTAGTGAAGTCTCCTGAAATCTTACTTTAGCTGTGACAAGAGAACAATCACTTTAACATTTAACTGCTCTACAGTTACTGACAGGAAACTAAAACAGCTCCCTTTTGCTCTATCTTCCCTTGCCAAAGGTTCCATATAAATGTTTAGTTATGGATTTTTGCACTTAATGAAACTCAAATTGCTCTTAGTGTGTTCAACATAACCATTCACACAAATAATACAGATACATGGCAAATCAATCATGTTATCATCAATTAGTAACTAGGAACCATACACGATGAAGAAAAAGATATAAATACAATTATTTGCATATTTTCATACATGTGTATGATATTTACGGAAAACACATTTACATTAGTTTGAATATTATTATAGGAGACAAATGCATATATAAACTTTATTCATTTTAAAAGCCAACATATGTTTTATTAAAAAAATATATGGAAGGAAAGGACAGCTGCTAAGAGTTACTTCATTTTAAATTTAGGTAAAGACAAAATTCATCTTTCAAAGCAGCCTTATAAAATAAAAATGGTCTGCAAAAATTCAATTTTAAAACTGAAATCATTTATCACTATTATAAGAATTAAGAAAATGTATTAAAGAGATTCTCAACTCTTCAGTGATTACTTCAGAACCACAAAAAGGTATCACAAAGAAGAAACAGATATGGACTCCACAGTTCAGAAGAAATGAATTGTTTAGTCTATCAAATTCATACTTCCTAAAATTACTATATTTCATTGAAATAACTAAATTGAAAATTTTAAAAAGGTACAGATGGAGGGTAACTTCCCATTACAACATTCGGGTAGACTCACAGGTATTTATAAATATCTGCCCCCACAAGTACATAGGCAACAGATCAGAAAGACACAGATAAGAACATAAAATAATAAAACTGGAAGGTCAGAACATTCTCAACATTCAGCACATTCTGAAGACTATAATCCAGTAAACGAAAGAGAAGCAAGCTATACTAATAAAGTAAAATTCTCTAGAAACTATCAGTTAAGGCATAAAAACTTTAAAAAAAAACTCACATGTACATTTAAATCTTAGGCAAAAACAAAAAATACTTCCCCCAAAGTTTATGGGGCTTTTTATTATCATTTAGCTCCAAAAAAAAAAAAAAGTTTTAAAAATTCATAATAGAAATGAGAGATAATAAAATCTTCCAATTCCAATATTCTACGAAGCACCTCATTTTTCCTTAAACTAAAAGAAAACCAAGAAACATTAGGGTGGTGGCGAGCTCACTGCAGATTCAGCGCCATGCTCCTTATCCTGCTTTGCTGCCTCACGTGGTGGATCCGGTTCACTGCTGCTATGCTCCTCTTCGCTGGAATCACTGTGCGATCCGTCTTCAACCCTGCCAGCTTGCTTGTCCTGGGAAGGACCTTCACAGGCTTTGTCTGTGGGAACAGCTCCTTTCCGCTGGGGCAAGACAGTAAAAAATGCTTCTTGCCAGTCTCTTGTTTCCAAGTACTCCAGAATAATCTCGAACACTGCAATAAAGACAAAGTCCACACATTTCTTAGCCAAGAGCATCACAATGCTGTATACTGTCTTTTAAAATGCACTGCCTTTGTGTTAAGAGTACTACTTTGTCCTCAAACTACTTTGTTCTTGTCGTTTCCATCTCCTATTGGCTGTTAGGGCCAATCTGTTCCAAGGATCTCAAGCCTGTTACCTCCTCTCTGGCTCCCTCAGTTCAGTTCCCGGGTCAGTTATAAGTAATAGAAAGAGGATCTTTGTAGTTTCCTTCTTGTTCTTTTTTAGCCCTTTCACTTCTTTATCCTTTATCTCCTAAGATAGAACTAGAAAAAATAGTTAATGTTCATTAAATTTCTTCTTATAAAAAGCCACTCGGGCTAATTTGGATTACTTCGTGGAAAAGTAATTTTCACTATACATTAAAGGTTTTAGAAGAAGCCCTTTCCTTGAATCAGTAACTACATTTCTATAATTCCTTAGAGACTGCTATACAGAAGGCATTTAGAATATAAAAAGAGTTCAATAAGTAGTTGTATACTGATTAAAATCTCTCTTTAAAAAATTTTAAAAAGCAAAGTCCAGGCAACAGCTTAGGTCCAAGAATGTCTATTCCAATGTTATTTATGACTACAAAAAGAAAAAACTAATTCAACAATAGGAGAATGGTTAAATTACTGTATATTCAGATGCTGGAATATTACAGAGCCATTAATAATCACTCAATAACCTGGAAAAATAAAATGATAAGTGGGAAAAAAAATCCCAGATTTATAACATAGTGTGTAACAGAGTAAGAATTCAATCACGTAGTATGTAATAATACATATGCATAGGAAAGAACTGGAAGGAAACACAAAAAAATTAACATCAAGTATCTTTGTGCAGTGAGATTACAGTTAATTTTTTATATTTTTGTACATTTTCAAAATTTCTAAAATATGCATTTTTCTTACTTAAAAAAACTTTAAATGATTACTTTTTACAATTTTATCTCCAGCATGGTATAATATTTTCTACTTGTCCATTTCTCAAATGTAATGTTCTTTCTCGTAATGTTTACTTAGGTATATTTTCCGTTTACCTTTATAGCTTACCATGATTAACTGCCAAAACTTTTCGACTATTCATCTTCACAAAATTTCCAAGAGGGAGCTGTGCATGATCAATTCCATAATCTGATGCTTGTTTATATGTGAGTCCCTAAAACAAAAACACTATGATTTGGACTAGAACATTCAATTATTTTACAGTCTATGAGACTATCAATAATTTTTAGAAAAGACTATAGTTTACAGAATATTATCTAAAGAGGGTGTGTGTGTGTGTGTGTGTGTGTGTGTGTGTGTGTGTGTTTAACTGCTAATTTGGAAATGTTCTCTTAACAATAAGTATAGTCAGAATGTTTAGAGCATTTGTTTTAATCTTCTCAATTTACAAATAAAGAAACCAAAGACATCATATTCCCTGCCCAGTTACAAAGCTCCTCTGTAGCAGAACCACAAGAAAAACCCGCTTACTCCTCTCTTGACCTAAATATCTTTTCACCATTCCACCCTGCCCTTCTCCCAACTTAAAATATAGTCATGCGCCACACATTGACATGTTAGTCAATGACAAACCGCATATGTGACAGTAGTCCCATGAGATTACAATGGAGCTAAAAAATTCCTGTCACCTAGTGATGTTGTAGCTGTGCCAGTTGTATAAAAGTATAGCATGTACAATCATGTATAGCATGTAATACTTGATAATGAATGATTATGTTACTTACTGGTTGATGTAGATACTGTACTATATTTTTATCATTATTTAGAATGTACTCTTCCTACTCATAAAAAAAAGTTAACTGTAAAATAGCCTCAGGCAGGTCCTTCAGGAGGTGTTCCAGAAGAAGACATTGCTATGACAGGGGATGACAGCTCCGTGCCTGTTACTGCCCCAGAAGGCCTTCCAGTGGAACGAACTGTGGAGGTGGAAGACAATGATTTTGATGATACTGACCCTGTGTAGGCTTAGGCTGGCGTGTGTGTTTGTGTATTAGTTTTTAACAAAAACGTTTGAAAGTAAAAAATAAATAAAAATAAAACTAGTAAAAAAGCTCATAAAATAAGGATATAAAGAAAATATTTTTGTACAGCTATACAATGTGTATTTTAAGCTGAGTGTTATTATAAAAGTCAGTTTTAAAAAATTTTAAATTTATAAAGTAAAAAAGTTATAGTAAGCTAAGTTTATTTATTACTGAAGAAAAATTTTAAAAAACAAATTTATGATAGCCTAGGTGCCCAGTGTTTATAAAGTCCACGGCAGTGTGCAGCGCTGCTGTGGGCCGTCACAGCCACTCACCTCTCACTGACTCACCCAAACCAACTTCCAGTCCTACAATCTCCATTCGTGCTAAGTGCCCTTTACAGGGGTACCATTTTTTATCTTTTCTACTGTATTTTTACTGTACCTTTTCTATATTTACATATGTCAGATACATAAATACTTACCATTGTGTTACAACTGCCTACAGTATACAGTACAGTAGCAGGCCATGCAGGTTTGTAGTCTATATGTATACTAGGCTATTCCTGCTAGGTTGTGTAAATCTATTCTATGATGTTCACACAACAATGAGACCACCTAATGATGCATTTCTCAGAAAACATCTCAGTTGTTACAAACAGCATGACTGTACTTAAACTGAATTCCTAGAGAACTACCATCACTCTTGCCATGAATGTAAAAAAGGTTTCAATTATATAACAGTATTTTGCACAATTGGCAAAGACAAATCAAATGAAAACCTGAACTGAAAAAAACTTTTAAGCCGTCCATTTGGGGAGCAAATAATTAAGGCTAGATTGAAATAGGTGCTATTAAAAACAAAATTGTTTTGGTTAAGAGAAACATATATATGAAAAAAAAATTTGGTTCTATATAAATAACAAAATACAATTTTTCCACTAAGAAAAAGATGAAAAGGCTAAAGATCATTCTGATAAAATTCCCTATGATGCTCTAGCGCTGCACTGTCTAATTGGTAAGCACATGACTACTTAAATTTAAAATGACTATAATTTTTAAAAATTCAGTCACACTGTGCATATTTGAAGCGCTCAGTGGCCACACAGCTACCGCAGCGCGCAGGCAGATGCGAGCATTTGCAGCACTGCAGAAAGCTCTACCTGCACAGTGCTGCTTTACAAGAATAAGGAATTACTTCATATTATTCTGCTGACGATATTTCCTCAGATACTAAATAAGCATGTTTTCTTCCTTAGCTGGGCTGATTTTAGCATGCTGCAAAGTAGTTATCAAAGTACAAAATGATGTTTTCTTTTAGAAAGTACATCTCTGTAATTTTTCATCTAAAGAAGGGTATGGGGGTGGGAAGAGAGAAAAGGATAAATATGAGAGAAAAAAACACCCCACGAAAAGCTCTTATTTTAAAGCTGGTATAAATTTCAGTGGGTTAGCAACTGATTAATAGCAGCATCTTCTATCAACACAGCATAGTGTTAAGCACGTGGGCTCTGGAGCAATCTGCCTGGTTTCAAATATCTGCTTTGCCACCTACTTCTATTGATTTTAGGCTTAATTTCTCTGTGGCTCAGAATCCCTATCTGTAAAATGTAGATAATAATAGCACTGAACTCACTGAGTTGCAGTGAGGATTAAGCAAGCTAATATATGTGAAGTGCTTAGCTTAGCTCAAAAGGTGACTGGGACACGGTAGGCGCCCAGTAAAGATGAGCTACCGTTAGTGTTATTGTTACCAACAGGAAACTGAAATACTGACTTTTAGTACAAGCAAAAGCAAAAATAAAAACCTAATATAATAGTACCTTGTGATGGTTGTGATCCACTAACCCTCCAATCACATAGGCCTTTGATTCATCTAATTCCTTCAATACATTAGGTGAATCTGATGTGAGATAAACCAGGTCTTCTTTTTTCACGAGTTCACTATAGTGCTCTGGTTTGACGTGGATATCCTTTAAGACACAAGGTGAAAGACGTTACTAATTAATAGCAGTTTGTGACCGATGGCTAAAAATGATTTATCCCCTGTCCCCAAAACAAACCCATCCAAAAACACCTTAAATAAAGTTTAAAAGTTTAAAAATGTATTATTTAGAACTTACTACATCAATTCCTTATCAACTTACACTTTGGTCACTTAAATAGCCTCTTAATTTTATTTCCCTGTTGCTGGCCTCAGACCTCTCCAATCTACTTCCACACTGTTGGTGGGCTCATTTTCTAAAAACACTACTTCCAATGCTTTATCTTTCTCTGTAGGATAAAATCCAAACTCCTTAATTTAGAGACTCTTTCCTGAATACAGCACTAACCTACCTTTCCAACTTTATCTTTCTTCCAACAAAACAAATGCCTTTTTACTGCCACATATTTGCTCACATTGTTCTCCAGCCAAAGAATGCCTTCTCCAATTACTTCCTCTCCATCTACATGAATCATCAAAAGGAAATTGCTTATAGATTTAATTAATTCCATGCATCTGTTTCTACAAAGATACACATTTGAAAACTTCTTTGCCAAAATTGTCAGGTCAAAGGTACAAAATTGAATAACAGTTGGTAGTCAGGATTTTGCAAACTATATTCATTGCACAAAAGAAAATGGATCACCAGGCTCAGATGACATTAACCCAATAACTTTTAAGGAAATCAAAAATGAAGCAGAGAAACTCTCACCTAAAATGTATAACTTATTGATTAATAAACAGTCACTTTTCTGGAAAATGATATATTATAAATTTGACCCCTACACTTAATAAAGGCCTCAAGGAAAACCTGAGTAATTAGAGATCAGTGAAACTCATGTCTCTCTTGAAAGCTGATCATATAAATATTATAATAAATTTAACAAGCCACAAATATGGAAAATTTACCTATTATAATTTATTAAGTTATTTCTTGGGAGAAGAGGCATAGATATATTGTACTTAAAAACTTAAAAAGCCTTTGAAAATCTTTCATATTAAAGGCTATTAATAAAACAAATGTACTCATTATGGGATTAGTGAATGTAAAAGGGCAAGTTTGTCACTGACAGAATTGACTGAGAAAGAAAAAACTATAGGAATAACTATACTTCTCTGAATAGAAAAAGAGTTCCTTAGGTATTTGGTACTAAAGCCAATTGATTTGGTCATCTTTACCAATGACTGAGAAAAATTCAGTCCAATAGGAAAAAGAAACCCTGCAAGCCACATATGTAATTTTAAATCTTCTGGTTGCCACATTTTAAAAAGTGAAAAGAAGTAGCTAAAATTAATTTCAGTAATAGTTTTATTAACATATGCCCTAAATATTATCATGTCAACATATAATAATTATTTTTAATATACTTTAAAGATGACAATAAAATAGGTAAGATTTAGCAAGAACATGTACAAACTAACAGAAATCTCTCTTCTTCAGCTTCTACTTGTAACCTTAGACTTAGGTTGACACACAGGGTTTGGAGACTGCTATGTTCAGTAGAATTATATAGAATTTAGGTAAAAATTATAGACATTTAGAAACATGAAAATACAAAAATATATGTGAGAGTTGATCTGTTTTAATTACCTTCCAGTTGACCCATCCTTTGTCATTTTCATCCATGTTCTTTTTCAGCTGGCCTCCATGGCTTGTCAAGTAAAACTGACAGGAGATTGGTAGGTATAGAAAGAAAGAGAGCAAATGACCATTTAAGTTCAATATTTTATTCCCCTCATCATTCATTTCATTATTAATGAAACACACTATATATTCTCATTGATCTAGAAAATTACTGACATGCTTTAGGCATACAATAAACTATGGTAGAAATGATGAGTCTTGTGCATCTCATAACTTACTAGCTTCAGTATTAAATTTACAATTTCATCCCACTTCTCTTTAAGTAGCTAAAAATCTGCCTCTACCTTAATGATCACATTCTTGCAAAATCCCTGTTTACATGTCAAGTTCCCATTACTTCCCATAAACCTTTTTTTTGTTGTTGGCTACCACTGTTATTTTTTTACCAATCTAAAGTCTTCATAATTTTTCCTTGATTCTAAACCTTGACACTATATAAGTCTGAATAAAGGGTGAGAAGAGGCCTATTACTCAGAAAGATAAGGATATAAATGCTAGCATAGAAGTGGGATAAAAAATTATAAGACATAAAAAATACAAACTATAAAATTATCACTTAGTAAAAACAAAATATCTGAACAAAAATCAATTAAGAGTCCCTGATTCTTAACATCAATGAACCAGTGTTAATTTTTAGGTCATCTGCAACTCAAACAAAAAGACCCTATTCTTAACAGCAGCCAATGAGTCTCCCAAATCACTCCCTCACCCCAGCTTAAGAAATAGTTTTCAAAATTATCAGTGACTCCAAAGGAAACTAACATCCTTTGAGCAGACAAAACTTATACTACAAGTACCACACCACATGTCAAGCAGTGGCAGCCCTCCACCACCCCACCACCTCAGGAATTGAAAGTGGAGAAACTGGTGTGAAAATACGAGTATGTCCTATAATAAAGATATTCCACTGCACTGCAGTGAACAGGCCAACATGTACAAGACAGACAATGACTGGAAAGTGTCTGAGAATGGTGTATGTGAAAATATGTTTTAATATTTGACTTTATTTTTCTAGAAAAAGAAAACATTTTTCAAATAGACATTAAACAAGATTACATGCAAAGAATCTTGCAAAGACAATAGGAATTATCTATGTTTTTTTGCCATGGAGGATATAAAAGAAAACTGGAGTCTGTCTTAAATTCTTTAAACACACCTGCACAGGATGCAGTGCTCGTCGGTTTTCTGCATAACATCGTTGTATCTGCTTATGAAGTTTCTTAATGTCCTATAAAAGTGCAATTTTTAAAGGAACATTATCAAAATTGTGTATAGCCATTCCATGGTCTTAAAGGACTAGAATAAGCAGAAAGGATGACATAGATAAGTATAATTTTTCTTCTTACATACAAGTCTATTCTGATAATTTTCATTTGATTTCCTTACATACTAACAAAATTATTATAAGTACTCTGTAAGTGACCCATTTTTTCATATTTTATATCTATTTAAAATGCTAGTTCATGAAAATATCTACTTTCTTAAGAGACAAAAACAAATAATGCATTGGTAAAACCCCACAGATCTTTAGGATTATGAACATGCATTTATTCTGTTTTATCATCTAATTATGAAGTGTGTGTGTATCTCTCTCCCCCATCTTTACATATATAGACATACACATATATATCAAAGCAATTTAGCAGCCAATTTAACTTAGGGGACAGAGATTTTGAACAACTTAGGATGCATTTTAGTACATGAATTTATATCAAAGTGATACTACACATTAAAACAAGAATGGTTCAGCCTAGTTCACCTATAGTATTTTTCTGATAATTATTCATAATACCTTTAATACCATCAAGTCATCAAAGCTACAGTCAATGATAAGACGGAGGGTGCTGTGAGTAACATGTCTTCGGATACGTTTTCTGTCATTTCCATCTGAGTTCGAATCCAGTTGACATTGTCGCTCTAATTTTTTTCTCTTGCGTTTTTCCTTTCGCTTTTGTCTAAAATGAGTAATTAAAATAACTTTTTATTATTTGTATATTCAGACATTCACAAGACTCTTCTAAATAGACAAAGAAATAATTACTTTTTAAAGTCACTACATTAAACCATAGGAAACTGCCACTTCTGTGACCATTCAAAAACAGTCAAGTGTTAGCAGCTTTATATAGTCCATCTAAAAGCTTTAGATAGGAAGGAAATGAGTTTGTAAAAACAATATAAAGCTTTCTATCTAAATTCTAACTATTTTATCTCAATAATTTCATTTATTATTGGTATTACAATATCCCTAAGAAAAACTTATAGATACTGAATTTGAGAGTGATAATGAATTTTACATTCATAATTCACCCTCTACATGATTTTTAAACAACATTTATATGGTATTTTAAAAAAGCAAAAAAAAAAAACCTGTTCATTAAAAAAACCTCACATTTAACATGCTTGAAGCCCTTACTTGAGGAGGGAGGGGAGCATGGGCAATATAAGTAACCTTAACACTTGTACCCCCATAATATGCTAAAAGAAAAAAAAGAAAAAAAAAACAACCTCACATTTATTGAATATGGATTCTTTTCCCCAGTATGTTTTTGTCTACTTTATCAAAGATTAGATGGCTATATGAGGATGGTTTTATATCTGGGTTCTCTGTTCTGTTCCACTGGTCAATGTCCCTGTTCTTGTGCCAATCCCAAGCTGTTTTAATTGCTATAGCCTTGTAGTATAGTTTGAAGTCTGGCAAATTGATACCTTCCATTTTGTTTTTATTGCCTAAGATTGCTTTTGCTATAGGGGGTCTTCTCTGGTTCTATACAAAGCATAAAATTATTTTTTCTATATCTGTGAAAAATGATGATGATATTTTAATAGGGATTGCACTGACTCTATAGATCAGTTTGGGTAATATAGACATTTTAACAATGTTGATTCTGTCTACCCACGAGCATGGTATGGTCTTCCATCTGTTTACATCTTCTGCTATTTCCTTCTTCAGTGTTTCATAGTTTTCCCTGTAGAGGTCTTTTATCTCCTTAGTTAAATACATTCCTAGGTACTTTATTTTCTTTGTTGCTATTTTGAAGGGAATTGAGTCTTTGATTTGGTTATCACTTTGACTGTTGTTGGCGTATATGAATGCCTCTGATTTGTGTATTGATTTTGTATCCTGAGACTTTACTGAATTCATTTATCAATCCAAGGGGTCTCTTGGTTGAATCCTTGGGGTTTTCTAGGTATAATATCATAGCATCAGCAAAGAGTGAGAGTTTGATCTTTTCTGCTCTCATTTGGATGCTCTTAATTCCACTCTCTTGTATGACTGCTATAGCAAGGACTTCCAGCACTATGTTGAATAGAAGTGGAGATAGTGGGCAACCTTGCCTTGTTCCAGTTCTAAGTGGGAATTCTTTCGATTTTTCCCCATTCAGTATAATGCTGGCTGTGGGTTTGTTATATATGGGAAAACTGGATAGCCACATGTAGAAGACTGAAACAGGACCCACACCTTTCACCTCTCATAAAAACAAACTCATGCTGGGTAACAGGCTTGAACCTTAGGGGTGAAACTATTAGAATTCTAGAGGAAAACATTGGAAATACTCATCTAGACATTGGCCTAGGCAAATAATTTATGAAGAAGACCCCAAAGGCAATCACAGCAGCAACAAAAATAAATAAATAGGGCATGATCAAATTAAAAAGCTTCTGCACAGCCAAAGAAACTGTCAAGAGAGCAAACAGACAACCCACAGAATGGGAGAGAATTTTTGCAAGCTACACATCCGATAAAGGGCTGATAACTAGAATCTATTTAGAACTCAGGAAAATCAGCAAGGAAAAATCAAACAACCCTATCAAAAAGTGGGCAAAGGACATGAACAGAAACTTTTCAAAAGAAGACAGAATAATGGCCAAAAAACATATGAAAAAAATGCTCAACATCTCTAATCATCAGGAAATGCAAATCAAACACAATGAGATATCACTTATCTCCAGTGAGGATGGCCTTTATTAACAAGTCCCAAAACAATAAATGTTGGCGAGGATGTGGAGAGATAGGAACACTCCTACATTGTTGGTGGGACTGCGAACTAGTTCAACCTCTGTGGAAAGCAATATGGAGATACCCTAAAGTGATACAAGTGGATCTACCATTTGATTCAACAATTCCACTACTGGGCATCTACACAAAAGAACAAAAGTCACTGTATGAAAAAGACACCTGCACATGAATGTTTATAGGGGCACAATTCACAATTGCAAAGATGTGGAAACAACCCAAGTGCCCATCGATACATGAGTGGATTAATAAAATGTGGTCTATGTATACCATGGAGTACTATAGAGTACTATGGAGTACTCTAAGAAACAATGGTGAACTAGCACCTCTTGTATATTCCTGGATAGAGCTGGAACCTATTCTACTAAGTGAAGTATCCCAAAATGAAAAATATGCACCACATGTACTCATCAGCAAATTGGTATTAACTGATCAACAACTAAGTGGACATATAAGAATAACATTTATCGGGTGTCGGGCAGGTTGGGGGCGAGGGGATGGGTATATACATACATAATGAGTGTGATGCACACCAAGTGGGGGATGGACATGCTTGAAGCTCTGACTCGAGGAGGGAGGGGGGCAAGGGCAATATATGTAACCTTAACATTTGTACCCCCATAATATGCTGAAAAAACCAAAAACCTCACATACTTTTTTATCTAAATTACATTAACTATGGTTTATTTTCTCTCAGTAAATTTTGGCATTTTATACAGTAACAAATTCAGCCTAACTGCTTTTACCAAAACTTGCAATGGTTCTTCTAGCAAAATCAAAGTTAGGCTAAAATTTGATCTTTTTGACTTGGTTATTTTTATTCCATATCTAGGACATGGATATTATATATCCCTTATCTAAGACAATTGTTTCAAAAATTGTGCTGCTTCCCACAATAGGTTCTGGGTGGAAAAAGCATTGAATGCAAGTTCATCAACACTGCTAAAAAGAAATTCCAATAATATAATTTAAAGCACATATATTTTTAACAGTCAGTTGACAGTGATAGCTAATAATATGTATAACCTCAATTTTAATTAACACAATCACTTTTAACATGCCAAAAGACTATGCGAGGTCTAACATTCCATACTTCAAAACAGGGATAGAGCATATGCATTTTGAAACACGTACTTGCGGAGTTCCCGTTGTTCTTCCCATTGTTTCTGTTTTATAAGTTTTTTCATTTGTCGTTTAGATATTGGTTCAAAACCTTCACCTAATGTTGGCTTCTGGCTTTCCTCTTGATCTTCACTTATGTCTTGCTTTTTTTCAACATTAGAAGTCTCAGTTATTGCTGGCAACATTTCAGATGACATTATTTGGTGCCTCTGAAAAACTGAAAAGCAACTTTTGACATGAACAAGTAATTTAAAAATACACAAAAAAGGGAAAAAAACCCAAATGTCCAATAGATATGATTAAATTAAACCATATTAGTAATAAACAGAAATACAAATTTAGACAATTAAATGTCATTTACTAGCAAACATCATTTAAATATCACTTAATATCAATTAAATATCATTCATTGGCAATGATGGTAAAATTCTGAAGAAATAGGGTGTTTTCATATACTATTGGTGGTCACAGTACAATTTTTTCAGAAGGCAACACAGGTGTACATTTCAAATATTGATACCCTTTACCCAGTAATTCAATTAATCAATCAGATTAATTAGTTAAATTAATCTGATTAATTAGATTAGTTCCTGTAAATGAATCAGAAATGTATGCAAAAATATGCACCACAGTATATTCACTGCAGTGTTATGTTTAACAGTGAAAAGTTAGAAACCACTTGAATGTCAGCAAAAGGATACTAAATAAATTACGGGTCATAAACAATATGGGTCAGTAATAGTAAGGAGACAGTAAAAGTCATGTTCCCAAAATTATCAGTGATAAGGGGAAGTGGTTATAATATGTTAAATAAGAAAATCACAACAAAAATATATGTATATATTACATACAAATATTTTTTAAAAGTATACACACGAACATATGTTTAATTTTTACCCACGGTTTTCTGTATTTTCTAAATCTTATAAAATGAAAATACATTGTTTTTAATAAAAGAAAAAATATTATTTCAAAAAACAGAAAGTACCTTTTCTGTAATCTTTTTTTAATGCTGTAGAACAGGGGAGATAAGAATGTTATTTCATTATTTGGTTCTACACTCATAATAGGTTTTTGACAAAAGAGATGCTTATATGTAGATTTATAAACTTTAGACAGTACAGAAAAACAAGTTTGGTTGCCTCCCTCCAATATATTTCATGGTCAATATGTAATTGTAAATATTCTACGGTAGTCATGGCTAAAAAACAAAACATGGAAGTTGGTTCTATAACCAGTTTGGCTTTGTGGAATGTTTAGGGTCATCTCAAACATATCTTTATTTGGATTTAAGTACACATCTTTATACCTATTGACTAGAACTGAACTTGCCTTCAGATTAGGGAAAGCCAGAAATACTGAGATTCCTTTTCTCTTCAATAAATTGTTAACATAAAAGCTTAGAAATGTATTTTTTATTTATCCCTACCAAGATTAAGCATTATGCTACCAAATGTTCTACTGGCCTTAAGAAAAATTCTATGATTCTTCCTTTATATAGAGATAGCTAACAAGTCTGTGAAGAGAAGCTAATTACCTAAAAGAAAAAAGAGAAAAATGCCCATGATTCAGATAATGGAAGGACAAAACCTTGCAAGGCATAAATAACTTAAGCAATAGTTTTATTTATGGTTCTTGCTTTCTTTAGACGTGCAATGCTGTAATAAGATATATGAGAATAACTAAGTAAACTCAGAAAATTTACTTAATTTTGACTGAGAGACAAGAAATTGTAAGGAGACATGTGCTTTGGGGTCTACAGAAAAAGCCCTGGCATTTTACTAGGTCACAAAACTAAGCAGAGGAAAGAACCCTCTAGTAATCCAAGTAAGAGGTGACAGATATTCCTTATTCCGCTAACCAAACAGTATACTCAGTCTGCGAGGACACCTTCTAGAAATGATGAACTCAAATTTGACTCTACACTGTAAACTCCATGTGGGAAGAGATAATGTCTGCTTTTGCTGAACATTACATTGCCAGTACTAACACGGTTGCTGGCACTGAGTAGGTGCTTATTATATATTGGTAGAATAAATAAATGAGTGAATATATTACAAAGGATTTTAAAAAGTAATAAAAATGGTAATAGCAAATATTCATTAGTTCTGATTGTGCTTAATAAAGAATTTATCTAATTTAATCCTTGAAACAATCCTATTAAGTAGACAGTATTATGTCTGCTTTACAAAGGAAGAAGGAACAGTAGGTTCATTTACCCAGAATTACAAATATAGCACAAAGTATATACTCAAAAATATTTGGCTGAATAAATAGATGAGTGATGGATGTTAGTATTCACACCCAAATTTACCTCTACTACCTCCTAGGAACCCAAAACCTTTTTTATAAAATGGGAGTTTTCAAAAAGTGTAAAAGACCTATGTTACCGCTGATAAACAGCTCTTAGAAGACCTGTGTCACTGAGAAAGAAGAAGAAAAAAATAGCTCCAGTTCTATTCTTACGATACTTAATCAAAAAATTGGAACAGACTTTCTAGAGATGGTTGCTGAAAGTTCATGCTTTGAGGCATCCTGCCTCCTTATCTTGAAATACATGAAAATAGTAGATAAAATTAAAAAGGGGGAAATAGAAAAGGTACAGCCTCTCTCAAAATCAAAAATAAGAAGTGGAATAGGTATTGTTCCTATTGGATCTGCTGGGCAGTCAGCTCTAAGTTTCCCCCCTTTATAGTAGGGACAATAACAACAGTACAAGGCAGGAAATGGGAGACAGATGAACTGAAACCAAGGTTGAGGTGGGTCTACTTCCATGAAAAAAAGTCTAAATACAGGTACTACTGGACTATGGCTTATATGAAACTGAGCACTCAGGGGAAGCCTGAAGGAAGCAGACACAGCCTGTCAGTCACAACCTGGAGCAAACCATAAGGTGACATATGAACTTATAACACTATATGATTGGAATCTGAACCACTCATATTAAGGACCTACTGTGTACTAGAACACAGACCAGGGTCAAGTAGTAGACAGATATCAATAGTAGATGGATCAAGCAGTTAGTTAGCTATAAAAAAAAAAAACAAAAAAAAACAAAAAAAAAATAGTAGATGGAGAGAGGTATTTAGGAGGAGAGAGGTGATAATTCTATCCAAGATGAATCTGCAAAGCAAAATTATAAAAAGAACTGATTTTAAAAAATAAGATCAATAATCAGGAAATAAATTCACTCTATACAAATTAAAAATAATAGGGCAATCTGAAAATGACTTTAAAATAAATTTGGTTAAAATCATAAAGAACCATAAAAACAAAACTGTGACACAAAAACACACATTAAAAAAATGGAAAACAAGAATCCATGAAGAAGAATCAATTTGAAAGCTAGGAAACGACATAAAAAGTTCAATGTATGAGATAATCTTGAGATTATCTGGGGTCCAAGAGTTGAATGATGAATTAGAAGACATCCTGACAATCTGATTCAGGATGCAGATAGAGAAGCAGAACAGAAAAATAATACGGAGGAGCAATTAAGACTTGGATAACAAAAGATACTAGATTTGTATTATTTATGGCTGAGTAGTGCTACATGGTATACATATACCACAATTTATTAATCCATTCATGTATTGAAGGGCGTTTGGGTTGATTGATTCCACATAAAAAAAAATCCTCGATAACAGGATGAAAGAGATATGGGAAAAAGGTAATTAGAGATAAATGTATAGCCTTGAATGCATTCATTAATTTTTTAAAAGCTAGAAAATAAGTTAAGCATTCAATGTACAAAACTGGAGACAGAGGAAACTCAGTAAACCTGAAAAGATTAGAAGGAAGAAAATGTAAAAATATATATTGCAATCTCCCAGATTAATTTTATTTTATTTTCTTTCCAATGCACAGTACATTAAATACAATTCAGCAATGCATGTATCCAAAACAATACAGGCTGGAGAAAACTGAAGGTCCATTAGTTAAACACAAAAACTTAAAAACACAATTAAATTCACAAGAAACGAACTGCTCTCTTCATGAAAGAATAATTAATATTCCAATAGAGCACACTTCTGTTTATCAGTGGCATTGTTTTTGGCTAGTTTTTTACTTTGTTCAAAAACTGAAAGCGTTGGTTAGTTAGCTCTATAATGAGAAAAAATTTAAAAGGCAACGTAATGTTTTACAGCTCATGTACAGCAGGGGGAGCATTTGCCTTTTCTATCTAAGAAGTCCCAAGTTAAATTTACGCTGACCTATCACAGTAAGGCAGTGTTTTTAAACAGCCTATTAAATACAAGGAAAGGTCACGGGCTGGTCAACATCATCATTATTTTTTTTAGCTATTCCCAATTAAGAAAATGCACTGTTCTAAGTGATTTTTTTAAAGTTTTAAGTAAGCTATACTGAAACATGAATAAGTGGAATTCAGCAAAAATTATGCTAGCTTGATATCTTACAAATTGCTTATAGATACTTTACATACAAAGATAGTTACTAACTCACACTGTATACAGTAAACACAATGTACACATACTGCACTATGTACTAGCTTGTTCAGATTCCCTGTTAAGCAAAATACAGGATTTTACTAGATACTCTTAGACTATCTGATTATTTTAGTTTGAGGAATAATTTATAAAATCTCTGGCAGAGAGTTCTGTGCTCCTCCCTCACATGCAATGGTGCTTATGGTACATTTTCATTCTTTCAACCAAGTTCAACAGATACTTGAGAATGATATTTTATAGTAATTATAGAAATATTCGTATGAAATTTTACTTTAGAATAAAATAAAAATGTGGGGGCTTCATTTACAGATGTAGGCTATCAAAACTAAGAATTTGATGCAGATGACTGACGCCATTTGGTGTGGGTGGGATACATATGTAATAAAGTATCTCAATATTCCTTGTATTTCCATTTCTTAGCACAGCTTAAGGCAAGGAGTGAAGGCCATTAGAAAAAAAGTTTTAAAAACTTGCAAAAATCTTATCGAATGGGTTAAACAGTCCTCATAATTTATGGCATAGCCTCCCTTCCAGAAAGACTGAAAGCAATGTTGGAATAATTGCGGAATGGAATTAATGACCTGATAGAGATGGCGAAGAAACACCCTTTTAAAAACGTGCTGACCAAATCTATCTGCAGTAGCTAAAGCCCTTTGTTCAGCCGTCAAGCCCTTTGGGTGGGGGTTGTTGGATGAAAGGGAGAAAGAGACTATTAAAAAGTGAGAAAGTAATCTGTCGCTATCCTGCTTATATCTCTAGAAAAATTCCCGAATTTAAAGTATTTCAGTGAAATCAAGTAACACTTCGATCTTCTTGGAACCGTCCTCAGCTCCCAACCAAAAGGCCTAAATCACCCGCGGCCAGTTCCCCTCGGGCTCTGTGTATCTGCGCGCTCATCCCGCCAGCCCTCCCTGAAGCAATGAGGTAAGGCAGGTTTAGAGAGGGAAAGTGACGGCCCACGGCCTCTAGCCACCGAGTGCCAGAACCACAACTCGTTTTTTGTTCCGTCAGGGTACCACGTCCCTCTCGTTCTTTGCAAACTCACACCGATCGCATACTGGGGACCGGATCCCGACCCCCAAAACAAACGCGGACCCAAAGCGTCGCACTGCGGGCGGACAGAGCCTCGCCCTCGCTCCCTTGCAGGCCCCCGCCCGCGAACGCACTCGGGAGAGGGACTAAGCCGCAGCCGGCGAACCAGGGAGCTGCTGGGCGGGCCGCGACCATGGACGTCATTTCCTTCGGGTCTGCGTCGCCGCGGCCACTTCCACAGCCCTGCTCCCCTCTGACCCGGAAGCCCTTGTTGCCAGCCCAGGGCAGCAGGCGCTCCTTTTGCGCCCAAAAGATGTCAGAGGGCGGGCGAGTGCCAGCTGCGGGGCCAGGACACTTACCAGACTGAGGAATTGATGGGGAGCGTGCGAGCTCGCACGGATAGCCTTTCCGGAGTGGTCCTGATGCCGCTTGCGAGGCCTTCTTCGGAAACTCCAACTCCCAGAGGCAGGGGCGGTCGTTGCGCGGTGGAGGCTGCGGCCGTTGCGCCTTACGTCATCGAACTGCGCCAACTTCCGGCCCGCCGCGGGGAAAGGGGAGGGGCTTATACGGGGCGGGGTCGGAGGTCGGGTTTGGGGAGTGGGGAGAACTGGCAGCAAAGTCTGGTTTTCCCCTTTACGTGTATCTGCGGGCATGTATTTATTCATATATTTGTGTGCTGGTGGGCTGGGGAAATTAAAGTAGTTCCACTCTTTAAAATTAAAAATGCAAAACAGGCGAAAGGCTCTTAATTTTTAGGTGTTGAATATGAGAAAAAAGCATCTCTTGCCTAAATTATTTCTAATTCATACAGAAAAAGGTTGCCATATCACATGACGTTACATAACTCAAGTGGAAAATTAAATTTGAAAAGTGAGTCGAGCTCATAATAAAATCCATTTAAATTTAGAATTTGTAAGCCTTTTTTATGGCTTAAGTAAAACAGCCATAGCTTTTACTCTCCATTCTTTGAGCTGTTTTTCCTATGCTATTTTGCAAAACATCAGGTGACATTTCATTGTTTATAATGCTTGACCTTATATAATCTTTTTGCTATATATAGACTAAGTGTACTGAGGGAGAAATGAAACACCATCCCGTAGATTGTCGTTTTCTATTTAGTTTTTTATTGGGCTCAACTTCTAACGGGCAGTTCGTCTAACTGCAGAATTTGAAGAATGAGGTTCAGAGGTTTTAATAGAAGATGGTCTTCTCAGTATGGAAAGAATTCTGAAGTAAATTATTCTTGATGCTTGAAAACATATTTGACTACGTTTAAAGGTTTCAGTGTATAGAAAATGAAATCCAGAAGTTGAGGTTCTCTAAAAGAATTGAAATTTCTCTGAATTTAGTCATAAAACTGAAGTCACCCTAAACCCTCAAATTTTACTTGAAAAACTGTGTCTCCTGTAACACTTTTGAGTTCCTTTCCATTTCTTCCTCATCTTGAATCTAAAAAATCTTTGTGAACTGAGCATTGGCAACAAAGTCTGGGACCATTTCTGATCTGTTAGTAGGGCATCTTTTTTCAGCTGCCTCCATATCAGGGCAAAGAGTAGCTGAGGAGGATTAGTAACTGGATATGTAGCCCTTCACATGTAGGTCATTAAATTCAGGCTGGCATAGTAATGTGCCAGATCTTTCAACAGCTGTTCAGTTGCCCCTATGCGATCTGTTTCATAAATAATTACACATTTATATATATATTTTTTCAGAGTTAGTAGCTGGCATCCTTAGATATTTAAAACAAAGTTTTTAAGTTACAAAAATCATATTTTAATAATGAAGTCAATAAATTTTCTTTTGTAGTAATTCAGTGCAAAACTTAAAATGATTCTAGTATCAACCCCAAACAAACACCAAAAAAGTACCAGCAAAAAGTCAATTTAACCAAAGATTGAAACATAGAAAGATTAAGAAGATGAAATCATATGCTACGAAACAATCTTTTCATTAATTTGTAAAATTCATGTGTTTATTTATTTGACACATCTTTGCGTTCCATGCTTTTTGTCTTAGTACTGGTGATACAAAGATGATTAAATCAAGATCTCTGTCCTTAAGGAGTCTAATAGGAGAGCTAGCAGTAAATAAATACCATACAACATACAATGTACTTGAGTTGCCTGTATATTGAAAGAAGCAACTAAATGCTCCTTGAGGCAGAGGACATAGTTTCAGAGATTGAATAACTTTTGCTCCTTCTTGGAAAGTAAGTAGGAGTTTTCCAGGTATCAGGCAGGGAAAGAAGTTTTCAAATATTGGAAATAGTGAAAACAAAGCATGTTGTAGTTTTACACAATCGTAAAGTTGTGAATAAGATGAGAAAGAAGAAGGAAAGAATAACTAAGGGTTTTTAAAAGTTGAATAACTGTAGAACTGTAATTACATTAACTAGGTCATTTAGGGAATACTGGAAGAAAATTAGGTTTTGAAAAAATAGTAAGTTTGATTTTGAATATGTGGATTCTGGAGGGCTTGCAGGATATATCTAAGTAGAGGCACTGAAAAATCATCAGCACATATTTGTAGTTTAAGCCAAATAAGAAGTTGAATCAAAAACTACTCCATGGTTTATGGGAACTGGAAGGTAACAAATAAGAGAAGCTATTTAGGAGGATAATGTCACAAACCTGAGAGTGCATTCCCTCTTTAATCAGGGCACAAGTTCCAAGTGGAATGTGGGCCTAATGACATCAGATTTCAATTTTGTAAGAACAGCAGAAATCTAAATTTGTGAAATCTGGTTTTAAAGTGTTGGCAACCATTTTGTTTGTTTTTAAAATACTGAGCAGGCTAAAAAAAACCATGTTTGTGGACCTCATTCAGACAATTGGCAGCCGGTTTGTTAAATTGGACTGTAGATTATAGCTTGAGAAAGGGGCTACAGATAACAACTAGAACTTTAGGACACAACAACACGGTAATGAATATGATTTTGAACTTCTCCATATGTTTGGTTCCAAAACCTTGGGCAATCATTACAAATTCCATTATTTCAAGCCTAATTATGATTTTAAGTCTGAGAGTACCCTTCAGCAATTTGGGAGTAGGGAGGTATGAGAATAGAGTAATACTTACAAATACTTTAATTTCAGGCTAAGAAAGCCACAAAGAAATCAATTTTTAAACATGAAAGCTATCTAAAAGGAAGAATTAACCTCTCATCTGTAATCATTTCAACCTGCAATTTGACTGACTTCAAAAATACAGAAAAAGTTTAAAATGTATTTGTAATACCTTATCCCCCGCCAAATAATACATAATATTGAAGACTTTGGAAAGATAACTAAGGAGGTAGTATAATCTGTAAACCTTCTGAATCTCCCCATAAAAACTTGTGAAACATCTAGGATAGCCAAACAGCAATAATGACAACAACAATCCCAGATTATAAGCGATAATATAGGTAGGTGAAAAAGAATCCCTACAAATCCCAAAATATGAGCAAGAAGGAACAAAGCCAACTTAATATCAGCATCTGTGTAGGAGGAAATGGTGGAATGACCACAGGGCATCTGAAGCCCTGAGAATGGGAGAGCCCCCAAACAGCCAATAAGTCATCACTGAAATGCAGGGGAGACCAAGATGAGATCAGCAGCAAAACTAGCAGGGAGTTCAGCACACTCTAAGCTAAGGGTGCATGTAAATGAATGAGCAGGAAGTTGCTGGAAGGGTGAGAGGCCTATGAACTCTCAAAACCAACACACTGGAGCTCTGTTCTTGAACATAGCTGAGCATTAAGGAAAAACTTCTGGAAGTAGAATCCAGTTGAATAGGATAAGGACTATAGGAGCAAAGGAAAAAGCAGTTACAATATTTCAAAACAAAGTAAGAGCAATTTTTTAAATGATAGAAAATATGAAAAGAACAATGTAAAACAAAAAACTCAGAAATGAAATGATTCAAGAAATGAACACTTGAAGAGATGACACCATTGCACTCTAGCCAGGGCACCAGAGCAAGATCCTTTTCTCTAAATAAATACAATACAATACAACACAATACAATACTATATATATATATACACATAAAGTACACATATATATTCAACATCCTACTGGAAGTTCTAACTGCTGTGATAAAATAAAAAAAAAAGAATAGAAGAAACACAGATGACATGATTATCTAAAATAATAATAAAAAAAAACTTCCAAAAAATACCTCTCATTAAACTAATAATCAATTATAGTAATAGCAAGGTCATACTATACAAGGTTAACATATAAAGTCGATAGCTTTCCTATATACCAGCAATGCAGAATTGGAACTTGAAATTAAAAAACAATAACACTAAAAAAATGAAATAAATATCAATCTAACAAATTTGTACAGAATATATATGAGGAAAGCTGCAAAATTCTGATGAAAGAAATCAAAGATCTAAATAAATGGAGAGATATTATGTGTTCATGGATTGAAAGACTCAATATTGTGTGATAGAAATGAGCACACATAGTGCCCAAATCGTGGTTTCTAAAACCATTCTTTTATAAAAGAAACCAAGGATCGTTGGAGAAATGACTGATTCTAGGATTGGAGTAAAAATATTCAAGATGAGCTGGGAACATTTTATAGTGCCAGAGAATAAAGAAATGCTAAAAACCAGAACCAAAACCAGAGCCCAAACAAGCCCCAGTCTTGGAGTATGTCAAAGGAACACAGGGGCCAAGTGAAAGAGCTCCCAGTGGCTAAAGATAGAACAATTGTAGCAACGAGTATGGTATGATTATAACCCAAAGTATAAAATAAATATCCATCATTCTGCACTGGTACAAATGATTACATAATGGGAAAGAAAAGACAGATTTCTCATGCAGAGGAATTCCAAATGTTTTAGGTAGATGCTCTGCCCTCAAGGAGCGGAGCATCTACCTATCTTCATTCCTTAAGTGTGGGCTGCACATAGCACCTCCTTTCAAAAAGGACAGTATAGAAAATGAGGGTGAAAAAAAGAACAACTTTACAGCAGAGAACCCTGACAACACTGTTCAACTAGGGGATCAATATAAATAGTGATAAATCATGTTATAATTTGTACCTCTGATAGGATGTGATGAAAATGACACTTTATCTCTGCTCTTCCTCCTCCAAACTTACGATCTCAGTCAAATTGTGAGAAAAATATCACAAAAATTCCAGGAAAGGAGCATCTTGCAAGATACCTGTCTAGTGCTCCTCAAAGCTGTCACACCCAAGAGGAGCCTAAAGATGCATGACAACTAAATATCATCATTGCATCCTGGATGGGATCTTGGAACAGAAAAAAAAAAAAGGATTAGGTAAAAACAAAGGTAACCTAAATAAAGAATGAATTTTAGATAATAATAATATATCAATATTAATT